CAATTTAGTATATATTAAGTAAAGATTTCAACAGTTTGCACCCACACAGAAACACAAAGTTTAAAGTACTGTTGAGTACTAGTTATACCACTAATTCACATAGTACAACACATTAAGGACAGAGATCCTACTTGGGGAGTAAGTGCACAGTAACTCCTGTTGTTAACTCAACAATTGCCACTCTTGCTTATGGCGTCAGTAATCACCTGAAGCCCTTGTCATGAGTTGCCAAGGCTGTGGAAGCCTCTGGAGTTCACCAACTCCGATCTTATTTAAACAAGGTCACAGTCAAAGTGGAAGTTCTCTCCTCCCTTCAGAGAAAGGTACCTCCTTCTTTGATGTCCCATTCTTTCCACTGGGATCTCACTCACAGAGATCTTTCATTTAGGTTATTTAACTGAAAAGTGATCCCTGTTAAAAAATCAAATTTTTATTTCATTGATCTTTTGTATCTTTTTTTGGTTTTAATTTTGTTTGTTTTTTTTATTATTGCTTTCCTCCTACTACTTTTGTGTTCAGTTTTTTCTTATTTTTCTAGGTCCTTAAGGTGCATTGTCATCAATTATTGATGCCTTTTCAATTCCTTTATATAGGCATCAATTTCTGTAGTCTTCCCTCATAATACTACTTTTGCTGTATCCCATAAATTTTGATATGTTGTGTTGTTATCTTCATTCATTTCTAGGAATTTTTGGTTGCCCATCTGATTTCCTCTATGACCCAGTGTTTGCTCAGGAGCCTACTGTTCAGTCTCCATGTGTTTGCATATTTTCTAGAGTTTCTTAAGCTGTTAATTTTGGGCTTCATTGAATTGTGGTCAGAAAACCATGAGTAGTATGATTTCAATTTTTTTGAATTTGTTGAGATTCGCTTTATAGCTTAGCATATGTTCTGTGCTAGAACTGAGGAAAAGAGTATGTATTCTGTAGCTGTGGGTTGAAATATTCTGGCGATATCAATTAGGCTCCTTTGGTCAATAGTATAGATTAGCTCTGTTGTTTCTTTGCTGATTTCTTATCTAGTGGATCTGTTGATCGAAGAAAGGGTGTGTTGAAGTTCCTTTTATTATTGTATTGGGTCCTAATGTCTCTCTTTAGATCCATCCATTAACATTTGTTTTGAATAGCCAGATATCCCATTATTGGATGCTCAAACATTGACCATGATCACATCTTCCTTTTTAATAGATCATTTAATCATTACATAATGACCTTATTTGAGTCTTTTAACAGTTTCTGTGTTTAAGAATATTTTGTCCGATATTAGGATGACTTATGCTTGTTTTTGCTTTCGCTTCCAGTGAATCTTTGTGTATCTTTGCTGGTGAGATATGTTTCTTGTAGGCAGCAAATAGATGGGTTTTGTTTTTTAATCCATTCTTTGTTGGTAAGGTGTGTTTCTTGTAGTTTCTTACAGCCCATCTGTATCTTTTAATTGGAAAATTTAAGCCATTTACATTCAAGTAAATTGATAAGTAAAAACTTGGTGCTACCATTTTTTCCATATATATTCCTATTGTTTGTTTTGGATTTTTTTTGCATTTTTGCTTGAAGAATTTTCTGCCTCCATATTCTTTCATGATCCTGATTATCTTTGTTTCTGTGTGTAGAAAATCCTTTAGTATCATTTGTAAGGTTAGATGAGTGGTGATAAACTCTTTAAATTTCTACTTGTTTTTTTTAATTTCACTTTTTTTCTATATGGGAGCTTTGCTAGATACAATATTATGAGTTGATAGTTTTATTTCTTTCTGTACTTGGACTATGTCTCCCCATTCTTTTGTAGCCTATAGAGTTTCTGATGAGAAATCAACTGTTGATCTATTTAGAAATACTTTTACAGTAACTTGGTATTTCACTCATGCACATTTTAGGATCTTTTCTTATTTTTTACTTCTGAAAATTTGACTCTAATATGTCATGGTGAAGCTCTTTTCCGATCATGTCTATTCGGAGTTCTGTGCGCTTCTTGAACTTGGATGTTTCTATATTTCTCCAAATTAGCTAACGTTCCTGCTATTTCACTGAATAGCTCTTCTAATCCATTCTCTCTTTCCACACTTTCTGGAACTCTTGAGATACATGTGTTTGATTGTTTGCTTGTATCCCAAAATTTCAAACACTATTTTCAGTTTTTCTAATTTTTTCTTCCTGTTTTGGTCTGAGATATTTTCTAAGATTTGTCTTCTAGAACAGATATTCTTTCTTTTGCCTCAATGAATATGTTGTTAAGTCTTAGTCTTTTTACTTACTTTTATTTTATGTATTTAATTTTTCATTTCTAATATTTCAGTTTGATTTCTCTTCAATAACTCTATCTTCCAGCAGAATTTCTCATCTGTGTCATGTATTAATTTCTTTAACTCATGTATTTGCTTCTCTGTATTCTTGAGTAATCTTATGAGCATTTTTAAAATTTCTTTTCCGATATTTCATAAATCTCTTCATCTTCACATTCTAATATTGAAATGTTTTGTGTTCATTTTGGGGAGTTACATTGTCTTTCTTGTTCAAGTTTCTTATATTTCTACAATTAGCTTTAGGCATTTGTGGAAACACTTGTTGGTTTTTTCACCTCTGAGTGCTTTTATCTTTGAAATATGCTTCTGGCCAGTGCCGTGGTTCACTAGGCTAATCCTCTGCCTTGCGGCGCCGGCACACCAGCTTCTAGTCCCGGTCGGGGCACCGGATTCTGTCCCGGTTGCCCCTCTTCCAGGCCAGCTCTCTGCTGTGGCCAAGGAGTGCAGTGGAGGATGGCCCAAGTGCTTGGGCCCTGCACCCCATGGGAGACCAGGATAAGTACCTGGCTCCTGCCATCAGATCAGCGTGGTGCGCTGGCTGCAGCGCACCAGCCGTGGCGGCCATTGGAGGGTGAACCAATGGCAAAGGAATTCCTTTGTCTCTGTCTCACTGTCCACTCTGCCTGTCAAAAAAAAAAAAAATTTAAAAAAAGAAATATGCCTCTGTGGCTTAATTATCTTCTCTTTTCATGGATATCCAGAGACATGTGCTCAGTGGGGTCATGGAATTCTGGCCAGTGCTTAAGGGTGGGATAAGTGTTCACCACGTTGGATGTGGTAGATCTCTATATCATCAGCAGGGATAAGGTATGATTGCATTGGTTGATGTTATCACAACCTCACCCCTCTCTGCCAAGGTGAATCAACTGTCCTGGGTAAGCTCTTAGTGGCCACACACCACCCACACAGGAGCATGAACCACATAAGGATCTGCACACTCCTCAGGGTGAGTGTAGAACCATCTGTGATTATCTACCGCAGGCACTCAGGGAACTCTGATCTCTGAATCCAAACACAGTGACTTTCCAAAGACACAGCCACACCCCACATCCTGTCACACAGTCACAGCAGTCACAGGGAGCATGGAATCTCTGCTCCACAAGCCTCATCCATCCATGAAGAGAACTTCGGCATTCCCAAAGCCAACTGCCTGCCCAGTTGAAGTTAGTTGATGCTGTGCCTTGAAAAATTGAATCAGGTACCTTGATAGAGTATGGCGAAGGCAGCACTTCACAGGCCTAGGTTTTAACCCCATCCCTCCTAACCCTTCAGGCCAGATTCAAAGTCAGGGAGGATTATGGATTTATCCCTTCTGTAAAAACCCCATGTCAAGCATGGGCAGTAGCAGCCCCTACTAGTCTTATTAAGCCAATGTTGCCTTTCTGCTAGTCGTGGGGTGCCTTTTTTGGGGAGAGAAAGAAGCAATGTGCTCTCTCTTCATAAGATTAGAAGGGCACTCTGCCATCATTTAGTGTTTCAGGTCAGACTGAAAGGCATTGGGGAATGTGAGGCTCTCCATCAGGCAATATCACAGTGTCACAGGCTGCCACAGGTTCCTATCACTTCTTTGCATGAAGGAGTCCACTATACCCACTGGCTGTATTAGTTGCAGGTGGTATCTCACTCACTGCTGGGTGATTGGACCTTCCCTGGTGCTCCAAGGCATCTCTCTTCTTTCTGTAGAATTTCTGTGGCAAACTTCTTTGCAACTCTCCCCTAGGATTTCAGTTCCTCTCCTTTTCTTGTGTTATCTTCCTGTGGCCAAAATCAGCACATTTTCCCCATTCAGACATCTTATGTCTTACACAGTACCCCTTTATAAAGAATCTGACAGGGCCAACGCTTTGGCTTAGCAGGTAAATCAGTGCAGTTGTCCCATATAGGTGCCAGTGCAAGTCCCAGCTGCTCCACTTCCCATCCAGCTGTCTGCTATGGCCTGGGAAAGCAATGGAAGATGACCCAAGTCCTGTGCCCCTGCACCCATGTAGGACACCCAGAAGAAGCTCCTGGCTCCTGGCTTCGGATCAGCACAGGTCTGGCCATTGTGGCCATCTGGGTAGTGAATAAGCAGGTGGAAGACCTCTCTCTCTCTCTCTCTCTCTCTCTCTCTCTCTGCCTATGAGACTCTGTAACTCTGCCATTCAAATAAATAAATAAATCTTTAAAAATATTTTGTCTGTCTCCTCTCTAAATTCTATGTTTAACAAACTGCTAAAATGTACTTTTCCTTAGTAAAACATCTCATGAAGTCAGCAGACAGCTCATTGTGATGTGCACACGAAGAGTGGATAGAGGAAGGAACACTTAAAAACAACCAAAGCTACTTTTGTGTTACTTAGGAATATACGAAATATAACCACAAAAATGTACATCAGCTTTGGAAATCTTACCATTCTCCTCAATTTAATGCTTCCATCATCTCTACAAATTCCCTCCATGTGGTACAAAGAATAAGTGATAAGAATATAATTATAAAATGCATGGATGGCATGCTATATTATATCAGTTATTTTCTTTGTAGAGGAGTTGGCATATTTCTTTCTGGTTAATTACAGTAAATGATCAAAATTAGAGTGGGTGGGAGTGAAATGTTTGGTGAACTAGTTTCAGGACATCTTTAAGGTTCATAACAGACTTGCTGGGCAGGTTTTTTTCCCAGTCACTTTTCTCCTGGTTCACCTGATTCTTGTTTCTCCACCAGATTCTCTACACTGGAGTGGTTGTGTATGCTCCTGCCCTGGCACTCAATCAAGGTGAGTGATCAACATTCCCGTGAGCATATTTTTATACACGAATTCTCACTTGGGAGAAACATACATAAAATAACTTACTGGAAAGATGTCCTTGTGATCAGGCTGCTCTGAAGCTCTGTAGAAGTTACTAAAGAAAAGTTCTAAATTGCATATTGAAAATAACGTAAACAATTAATGGTGTTGTTTTATCTCATGGAGTTCTAAACTAAACATAGTCATATTTAGTTATATTGATTTTTGTTTGGAGAATTTAATTTTTGTTTTTAAAGTCATGATAATGGCATGATAATGATGGCAGATTTGTTAGTGGATATGTACAATCACTAAGTTCTGCTGTAATATATAGTTCTTTCTCAGTCGTTTCATGAAGTGGATCTTCTGAGTATAAGAGGAAAAGGTGATTGTAATAATTATGTTAAGGTTTCTGGTTGATCGTCTCAAGAGAATAGAACCCTAAGAAAAAAAAAGAGCAAAAGTCAGATTAAATTTCATGTTACCCATCTTATTGAAAGTTTTCAGTATTCAATTTAATTTATCTCTGTGTTTATATTGAGAAATATTGATTAACGGTCAGCATTTTGGTTGTCTCAGAGTACTAAGACTAACTTTGTTAATGAAAAAAAATATGGACCAAAGATTGGAAGCTACAGAACCTGAGGTGGAAGACTTTTATTGAAGATTGCATTAGATATTTATATAGTGCCTTGGGGCATGAAAAATTAATAAAATACTCTTTCTTATAGATGAGAAAATTTAATGAGGGAACTCTAATATTCTTTTGTCTACATAGAACACTGACAAATATATGGTGACTTTTTTCTCTCATAAAACATGTTATTTTACTTTCTTCTGAGAAATGTCTCATTATTTTTTTCCTTTCATAGTGACTGGGTTTGATCTCTGGGGTTCTGTGTTTGCAACAGGAATTGTCTGTACATTCTACTGTACTCTGGTATGTATATAGCTATGAAAAAATATTTACAACTACTACCTAATATGGGGTAGGGCAAACCTCCAAAAACAGTGTATCTAATTATGGAATACATTGTTAATCTAAAATTAAATGGGAATGTTGGCTTAACTGTCACAGTTTCTTGTGAAAAATGTGTTGTTTATTTAAGCTCTTTTCAGTATAAAAAATTAGGAGAATTTGGTCTCTGAGCTCATTCAAGAAAGCCATGCCTAAAAAGAAATGCTCCTTGATTAGGTAATATGTGAACCTATGTAAATTCTGAGAAAAAATAGTTCGTTAACAGTGGCTCTAAACCATGGCATCATTTGTACTTTACTGTCAACTAATACAGAAATAACAAAAAAAGCATAAGTGAAGAAGGATGGCTGGTATTTTATAAACTTGATGATTCTACAATTTATTTTTTGTCTCTTATGGAAAACCCAGATTATATTTAACATTTGGCTTTGTTGATGTTTGGTTTTAATCAAAAAATCTGGGTGTGTTGGCAACATGCTTTGCTACAATTAGCTTGGTCTGAAATTCATTAAGTTCCTATTGTTTGCCTATGCCTATAACTGGAATCTTTATTAATGTATTATGAGTCATTGGGCCATGTGCTGGCTGTAATTAACCAGTAAGAAATATCCCGGCTGGCGCCCTGGCTCACTAGGCTAATCCTCTGCCTGCGGTGCTGGCACCCCGGGTTCTAGTCCCGGTTGGGGCACTGGATTCTGTCCTGGTTGCTCCTCTTCCAGTCCAGCTCTCTGCTGTGGCCCGGGAGTGCAGTGGAGGATGGCCCAAGTCCTTGGGCCCTGCACCCGCCTGGGAGACCAGGAGAAACACCTGGCTCCTGCCTTGGGATCAGCGCGGTGCGCCGGCCGCGGTGCGCAGGCCGCAGTGCGCCAGCCGCAGCGGCCATTGGGGTTGAACCAACGGGAAAGGAAGACCTTTCTCTCTCTCTCTTACTGTCCACTCTGCCTGTCAAAAAAAAAAAAAAAAAAAAAAAAAAAAAGGAATATGCCAACTCCGCTACAAAGAAAATAATTGATATAATATATCATGTCATCCATGCATTTTACAATTATATGCTTATCACTTATTTGTAGCACATATCATGATAATGTACAATTTCATAATGCCCTTAGCTCTCTTTTTTATATGTGAAAATTCTATAATTTCTTTACCCTTAAATTTTATCTTCATTTGTTTCCCCCTTCCACTCTTATCACCACTGTTCTGTACCAGAAACCTTCTCTCATCTATATTACCTTTCTCCTCTGACCATTAATGACAGATTAGTTGCTCAGATTACTTGCTCATGCTGACTATGACAACTTTTTAATACATTCCTGGGTTTGTAAGAGATACAGCTCCTAGGGGCCGGCGCTGTGGCTCACTTGGCTAATCCTCTGCCTGCGGCGCCAGCATCCCATATGGGATACAGGTTCTAGTTCCGGTTGCTCCTCTTCCAGTCCAGCTCTCTGTTGTGGCCTGGGAAGGCAGTGGAGGATGGCCCAAGTGCTTGGGCCCTGCACCTGCATGGGAGACCAGGAGGAAGCACCTGGCTCCTGGCTTCGGATTGGCATAGCTCTGGCCGTGGCGGCCATTTGGGGGTGAACCAACAGAAGGAAGACCTTTCTCTCTCTCTCTCTCTCTCTCTCTCTCACTGTCTAACTCTGTTAAATTAAAAAAAAAAAAAAAAAAGAGATATAGCTCCTCAAGGAAACCTGCCACCCACCCAAATACAGTAAATAACATGACATAATAAAACAATTTGTAAGTTATGATTTAACAGGGCTATTTTTGAGGAAGGAGTGGTAGGTAGATGAGGTAACTGGAACAGAGGTACTGATAACAACACTACTATGACTGAGGCCTTGAGCCCAGAGCCGTGTTGATGAACAGAAGTAAGGTCTGGTATAATCACAATAAGCTGGGACTTCTGAGGGCAGTTAAGTGCTTCTAAGTTGCGGATGTACTTAGGCTCTTTCAGGGAATAAGTTTGAATCCTCCTGAGAACAAGAATCCAAGGTTGGATTCCAAGATGCCTATAGATGAAGAACCAACAATTAAATATCATTAGAATCATTAAATAAAGTACTTTTAATGAAGATCAGAAAAGTGACAAATGATAATTAGCCTTTCAAGGACAGTAAATATTGGGATCAGAAGATACTGAATATAGAATAGAAATACACAAATTACTTAGAAAAAGGGTGACATTTCACAGATGAGGAAGAGTCAGGAATGACCACCCAGTGTAACTACTATGATAAAAAATAGATACCTTTGAAGAGACAAATGATTACACTGGGAGAAACATCTGAAGAAATAACCTAGAGAATAATAGAGAGAAAGAAGGACATGAGAATATGAAAAAGAAACCTAGATATATGGGAGACAAAATGGGGTCTAATTTATTTTCAACTGTGGTATCAGAGGACAGCACAGCAAGAAAGGAAGACAGGACACGTTTAAAAAGTATAGCTTGAATTTATTCAGAAGTGATAAAAGACAGGACTCTACATGTTTAGAAGGTGTAAACTTAAAGTATAAAAACGAAATCCACGTGCAGATACATTGATGAAACTACAGAACAGCAGATATAAATAAAAGATCAGAAAAAGAGAGAGAAAAGGAGGAACACTTCGCCCTTCAGGCTGACTTCTCAGTAACCACAATGGATGCCAGAAACAGTGGGATAATAAAAGCACTGAGGTAAATGATCCGTCAGCTTATCATTGAATTTTCAACAAAGCTTTCTTTCAGGAATTGAATGTCAAGAAACAGGAATTTAGCATTAACAGGTCTTTAATAAAATTGTAGAGGAAATATTGTGGGAAAAAGGAAATGTATTATAAAATGACAGTTTTAAATGGAAGAAGATAGGATAAGAAAATAAAATAGCAAATTTTACTGATCTAGAGAAATGATTTTTAATGATTAATGATGATTTCATATTATAATTTATATAATTTTATTAAATATTTATTAAATTTATAGCACCAAATGTACAAATAGCAATTATAAATGTGTGTATGCATGGGTAGGGGTATAAAAATTGAGAAAAATTACTCCTAAATAGTACATTAATTTGTAAATTAGGAAACCATCAATCAGACTGAAAGTATTTATAATCCTTGAAATTTGAGGGATTAGGGATTATTTCAAATTCTGACTCAGTTAAAAACATGGCACAATTTCAGAGATCCATTTAAGTAAAGCACTCAGAATGAAAAAAACATAATTTTAAAAACTCTAAGTTCAAGATAGTGCTATCTATGAGGGGAAGATAACAAATGTATTATTCCTTAAATCTTGATTGTACAAAATACACAAAAACAATACCTTTGACAATTAATGTCTATTTTTGAAACTGGATTTTAATTTTAATTACAAAAGAATGATAGGACAACCCCATTGCTTTCTTTTCAAGCTAAACATGAAGCCTGTCATCTTTTCACAGAAGTTCTTGACACTCTGGAGGAGTAACTGATGATGATAATTCTATTTTTCAATGTTAAAAATACCATGTCCTTTTATTTTCCTAGTGATTACTCATCTTCAAACACTTTTTAATGTATCATTTTATTTAATTTTTGCTATATGCTCATCCCACCTTCACCAAGCTTCTAAGGGATTCTATAGCTAGGATGCTACAACACCTCTCTTTTGCTTCCTTTCTTCTTGCCCAGATATTCTCAGTTGAAATCCTGTTTCAAATTACCTGGGAAATTTTTAAAGGCACTTAAGATGGTCCTAGCTAAGACCTTACTTAATTCATAATCCTGGTGGTGGGATTTGAACATTGTTTTCTTTCCTTCTTTCTTTCTTTTTTTCCTTTAACATCCTCAAGAGACTTTAAAGGGAAGCCCAATTTGGTAACTACTACACTCGCTGGTTTCATAATCTCTCTGAGTTCTAGTACTGGATGTGGAAGTGATAGTCAAGTTATGCTCTGAAGTTCTGGTTTAATTACCCCAGTATTTGACCATCTTGTAGCTATAAAAACTCCTTTCTTCTTGAACATCTAGGACATTTCTTCCCAGTATTTTTCTTCTTTGCCAGTCTCCTACTATCTCAGTTGCCTAAAAGTATTTGTTGTAACTAGTTGTACAAAAAATGTCTTGGGTTGTACAAGCAGGATGCAAGTGATATCCTTAATTGCTTAACTTCCTTATGTGTTCAATGAACCATAAACTATATTGATTTTACCTCTCAAATATCATTTGAATCCATCAATTTATTTCCATCTGTATTCTACTTCAAACTGCTTATCATTTTTGGCATGGGATACTGGAGTAAATTCTGAGCTGGTCTTGACCCCTCTTTTCTGCAGTTCATTGTTAACATAATCAACTGTGAAGCAACTGGGAAGGAAACAACATTTTTCATGATGTCACTCTTTAATGCTCTCTCATTGCTCTTCAGAAATAATTTAACTGTCCTTGTCAGGGTCTGCCTGCTCTGTGTTTAGCAATTCAGCAAACTTCCCTATGGATGTTCTGCATCCTTTGATCTATATATTCCATCTTTCTTGTATTTCCTCATGGAGCTAAGCTTCCCCTCCCTTTATACACTTTGGCTGCCTCTGCTCTTTGTTATCTGTGTCTGCTAATTTCTATTCATTCTTCAGAGCTTAACTTGACTGTCACTTCCTCAAGATCACATCAGGACTCTGCTAAATTTTCCCATAGCAATTTGTCCTTCTTAATTTCACTTTAAAAATTAATGGCTATATTATTATTTAATATCTGCTCCTGTCACTAGATAATAAACTCTGTGAAGTTAAGGAAAGAACTTGTGCCTTTCATTTACCGTTTTACACTCATGCTTATCTTACAACTTGGCAAATAAAGATGATGGGAGGTACGCATTTGGCACAGCAGTTAAGACACTGCTTAGGATGCCCATATCCTACATGTTGTGCCTGGGTTTGAGTCATGCCTCTGCTCCCAGTTCCAACTTCCTTTTACACTGAAAGGCAAAAGATGATGGTTTAAGTAATTCTGCCCCTGCCACCACATTGGTTACTCAGATTTAGTTCTGGGCATTTGTCTTTGGCCATCTCTAGCCTACTGTCGAGGGCATTTGAGGAGTGACTGAACAGTTGATGGAAAATTTCTGTCTCTGCCTCTTGCCTCTCTCTGCTTCTATAATAATATAATTATATAAAAAGAAAAAAAATTCTCAGCGAATGAGGTTGAATGAATAAATGAATGATTATGTCAGCAGAGATGCTCTGTAGAGTTGGAAGAGTGACGGGCTTCATTTTCATGAACTCCTATCCATTCTCTCTGTTTCAGGGAGGATTAAAAGCAGTGGTGTGGACAGATGCATTTCAGATGGTTGTTATGATTGTGGGCTTCCTGACTGTTCTTATCCAAGGGTCATCTCGTGTTGGTGGATTCCACAATGTAATAGAGCAATCAAGAAATGGATCCCGATTAAATATACTTGAGTATGTGCAATGCTACATTTTCATTCCTTATAAAGATTTTCTGCATGGTCTTATCACTTAAAATAATGTTTGGGTATCAAGGTAATGTCTTTTTTCATCCACTTCTCTATTCCTTATAGCTTTGATGTAGATCCTCTCAGGCGGCACACTTTTTGGACAATCGTAATAGGAGGAACTTTTACATGGCTTGGAATATATGGAGTTAATCAATCAACCATCCAGCGATGCATTTCTTGCAAAACAGAAAAGCATGCTAGGCTGTAAGTTAATAATCAAATTTTTTTTTTCTGATTTGTATCTTACCTTCATAGTACTCACACTGGTGTGTGTGTGTGTGTGTGTGTGTGTATGTGTGTGAGAGAGAGATGAAACATTCACTTAGCCTTTGCAATCACTTTTGGAGGAAGGTATTACAAGTCTTATTTCAGCAAGAAAGTGGTGGAGCTGAGGGTTGAACTGAAGTCTATTTGCCTTTGCTGTTAGTTATTTGATGTCTCTGATTATTGACAAATTACTAGGTCAAATTATGTGCTGTGGGCAGTGATGCAGAAGTAAATAAGACTTCTTGTTCAAAGTTTTCTAAAGATGGCTCTAATTACATATTTGGTTTAGTATGTAGCCTCTTCAATTGTTACTTTTCTTTGGATGTGTTACAAGTAAACTGAGGCACAATAAAATCTTAAAGGATTTCTTTGAGCAAACAGTGATTCCTAAGTCAGTCAATTCCAATCCAGAAATGGTTCCAGGGTGATACAGAAGAAATACAAGGGTTAGACTTCTATGGAATGAAAACAGAAGTAAAGCAAAGGAAATATTTGATTGGTTATAGTAATACAATTTCTCATTTGATCTCTCTTCCTGAAAAGTTCCTCATTATGGAAGTTAGTTGGTGGCTTGTGATAAGTTATTGTAAGGCTGTTTATTTCTTTAATATAATAATTTAAAAGAAACAGCCTAAGTTAAGGTTCACTTATGTTATAAATCAAGCAAGGTTAAGCTCACTTATGAAACCAATGTGGCTTTGTCTTGTCAGGGATTCTTCAGGACTGGTCTCCATTTTAATTTACCTTAAAGTTTCCAAGGATAGCTTAAAAATGATTTAGCCCCAAGTAATGTGGCAGCCATAATGGCAATGTAGCCACTGCAGCTTTTGCCAGTTGACAATGAGCAGAGGCACAATTTCTCAAGCCTTTTCCAAGCTTTGCATGCATTACATGCTCTAGAATGGGAATCAAAAGAATTTATACACTCTCACAAAATGGGCAGAAATAAGCCAGAACTGCATCTAAAATGATGATGTGTGATTATTAGTGCTGCTGTTCAATGTTCCAATCCCATTTATTTTTATTTAAGAGACAGAGAGAGAGAGAGAGAGAGAGAGAGGAATTTCCATCTGTTGGTTGACTCTTCCATGGTCAGACCTGGTCAAGATTAGAGCCAGCCAGTAACTCACCCAAGTCTCCTGCATGGGTCACAAGCACCCAATTTTTTGAGGTATCACTGCTGCTTCTCAGTGTCTGATTTGGGAAGCTAGAGTCAGCCACTAGAGCTGTGACAGGAGTTTTTTTTAAGACTGTAGACATATTGAAAATATTCTCTATAAAAGACTTCCATGAGAGAATCTATAGTGATTTAGTTAATACAATACAGGAGAAGGAATTCAGTCAAAATCCTTAGTACAATTGAAGTGCACACAGCAGGAGAGTGGATTGTTGTAGTGGTGAAGTGTTGAGAGGTCTCATTTTTCACACAACTAGAACCTCAACAGCATTTCTTGGGCACGGTAAGTCCACTCACAGCCAGCTGTGGACTCTTATCTAGGAGGCTCTTCAAAATGTTGATTCACTGCTTTTGCTCAACTATCTGAGAATCAGTTATAATTTAAACAATACATTGGGGCACATGAAAATCTCTGCTACATGGGGAAAATACATCCTGAAACATAGGCAAGTGAAAACAGATCTGTAAAGTTCTTAATGAATGTGGTTGCAGGTTAAACCAGCAGCAGCTCATTATATATGTATTTCATTATATAGCCAAAAATGCTGGTTTCTCACCAACTATGACAGTATGTTTAAATGAGGTCTGCCTGGAACCTGGACATGTCAACTACCAAGTCACTTAGATACCATCCCAGGAAGTCCACTCCTTTTGTTTCTAGATCTCAGTTCAACTTTCAGGACTGTTGGTAGTAAATTATACTGCTGTAAGAGTAGCAGGGGTTAACACTGGCTATTGGGTCCCTTCCTATTATGTTCCATCTCCCAGCTAAGAACACATTTACATAGAATCATTTTTGTTCCATTCTCATTGTGTAGTTTATTTTCTCATTGTCTTTTACATATTTAAAATCACCTAATTTATTTATTTAATTTCAGCGTTTATTACTTTCCTCTTATCCCAGAATGTAATCTCCATGAGAGTGGGTTCTGTACTGCTCCCTGCTACATCCTTATTATCAATAATTGGACCTTTTACATAGATATGCCCTATAATATTTTCTAATTGAATCAGTGAAGTGGCCTATCTTACAAACAGGAGAATGAGCCTGGTATAGAATCAAAGTCTATTACTTACGAGAAACAAATTCAAAATACAATGACTATCACTCTAGTGTTAATCGTTAAATTCTCATTTCTCATAGTGGACTCAAGAAGTTATAAAATTGTTTAGGATTATGTATAAAAATCCTCTAAATGTCTATATGACCTCCACATATTTCTACAGAGTGTAAGTTGTTCTAGTCTCTTATGAGCCCTGTAAGTAAGGCAGATGTACTACACTCTTGTTATGGATGATATTACTGGTTTTGAGTGTTATGTGACTTCTCTAAAGCCATATAGTCATTAAGAAAAAAGTCTTTGGATTTGAGTTGGATTCTCTTTTCAAAAGACACAAGGTGAATAGAATAATCATGTTGCAAAGTATTTTTTTCATTTAGTCATTTATTCCATCATTTCTTACCAAAAATAAAATAATTTAAGCCCACTATCTGCCTGTGCTATTCTATGATCTGAGAACAGAACATTGTATTTATTTTAGTGGGGAAAGCAGATAATAAACAAATGAAGATATACCATTGCAGATGATCATAAAGGCTATGATAACAAATTATGGGCAATAAGGATAGATAAGAGAACAGGGAGTGACTACATAGATAAGGTTGCTCAGGGAAGCCTCTTGAGGTAGTTTGAACAATGGCTTGAATAAAGTTTGCCTGAATGGAGCTAACAACTAATGCAATTATGCAAGGTTCTTCAAAACGCCATGGAAAAGGTGAATTAAAAATAAGCTTATTTTAGTGCTAAGAATTTTAGAAAACCATGCATATTTTTTTTCATAGCACACATTATCCATGAACTTTTTGAATATTTATCATAGGTATGGATAATTTTATGTAATGATCAAGAAGTTAAAGGGGGCCAGCACTGTGGCATAGCAGGTGAAGCTGCCGATATCCCATGTGGGCACCAGTTCAAGTCCTGACTGCTCCACTTCCAATCTGGCTCTCTGCTATGGCGTGGAAAAGCAGTACAAGATTGCTCAAGTCCTTGGGTCCCTGCACCCCCATGGGAGACCTGGAGGAAGCTCTGGGCTCCTGGTTTCGGATAGGCACAGCTCTGGCCATTGCAGCCAACTGGGGAGTGAACCAGCAGATGGAATACCTCTCTTTCTTTCTCTTCCTCTGCCTCTCTGTAACTCTACCTTTCAAATTAATAAATCTTTTAAAAATGATAAAAAAGAAATTATAAAATTGTTTAGGATGATGTTGTTTGCCAAACCCTCACCTAACAAAACCAAAATAAACAAATGAAACTCAAAGAAAAACACTGTTAAAATACCCCCAAAGTGAGGCTAGCAGTGTGGTGTGGTGGGTAAAACCTCTGCCTGCGAGGTCAGCATCCCATATGGGTACCAATTGGAGTCCCGGATCCTCCACTTCAAATCCAGCTGCCTGCTGATGGCCTGAGAAAGGCAGTAGAGGATGGCCCAAGTGTTTGGACCCCTGTACCCTTATGGGTGGTGACCTTGATGAAGCTCTTGGCTCCAGAATTCATCAGCCCTTGTTGCCATTTGGGGATTGAAACAGAAGATGGTAGATCTGTTTCTCCCTCTCTCTCTCTAACTCTGCCTTTTAAAATAAATAAATAAATATTAATTAAAAAAAGGAATAAGATTTTGATTTTCAAAGGATAATAATGTAAATGAAATAAAGTAGGACATTACAAAAACATTCAAATTGGAATTATGCGTGTCTGTATGTTATAGAATAAAATGAATTGTTCCGAATAGGTTAGATGATTCTAAATTTTCATACATTCTAGTGTCTTTAAAGAGAAATCAGCTTTGGCTGGCACCGCAGCTCACTAGGCTAATCATCCGCCTGCGGGCCGGCACTGAGGTTCTAGTCCCAGTTGGGATGCTGGATTCTGTCCCGGTTGCTTCTCTTCCAGTCCAGCTCTCTGCTGTGGCCCGGGAGTGCAGTGGAGGATGGCCCAGGTCCTTGGGCCCTGCACCTGGCTCCTGGCTTTGGATCGGCGCAATGCGCCGGCTGCAACGCGCCATCTGTAGAGGCCACTTTGGGGGTGAACCAACAGAAAAGGAAGAACTTTCTCTCTGTTTCTCTCTCTCACTGTCTAAATCTGCCTGTCCCAGAGAATAAAAAAGATAAAAAAAAAAAAGGAAGTAGAAGAAATCAGCTTTGAGAGAGGCTGTTAAGATTCAGCAGGGTAAGTCACAGCATGGGATGCCTGCATGCAAATCCGAGTGATTGGGATTGAGTGTTGCCTCCCATTCTAAAGTAGCTTCCTGCTAATGCATACCCTGGGTGGCAGATGATGATGGCTCACTTGCTTTAATTTCTGCATCCTCTTTGGGAGACCTGGATGGAGTTCCAGGTTCCTGGCTTCAGCCTGGACCAACCTTGGCTGTTGTGGGTATTTGGGGAATGAACCAATGGAAGAAAGATACCTCTCTTTGTGTATCAGTCTGCATTTCAGATAAATAAGTATAAACATAAATTTACTTGAAATTTTAAAATTAAAAACTCAACTTTGACTTTCATGGAAAGAATAACCCAAGTGAATGTTTCCAAAGTGTGTCTATTTCTACATTATCTCATTATCCTTCTGGATGAAAAGATGTTAAAATTTAAGCTGGCTTTTTGACAGTTTCATGAATTGAATAGGGGGAAAAATCACTTAAAGTTATATAATATGAGTGATTAGCATATGAAATTTCAGCCAAGAAAATAGATGTCATACCACACATATTGAGGTTTCAAAAAAAAAATAACCTTCCTATTTCAAAGGAAAATCCATTTAAATCTTACCTTATTTAGATTTGGTGGTCAACCTAAAAATATAATGCTCCCAAACAAAAAGTTTAAGGCAAATATGATTCTTAAAGGCTGTGGAATTTTATTTTACTAGCAAAAGGTAAAACCAAAACCAAAACCAAAACCACAATACATTGAGCCTTTGGTAATGACCTCACCACACCCTAAGAAGACATAGAGGCTATCAATAGGTTCATCTGTTTTCTTTTTTAGTGCCTTATACTTTAACTTGTTGGGTCTCTGGATCATTCTGGTGTGTGCTGTCTTCTGTGGCTTAACCATGTATTCCTACTTCAAAGACTGTGACCCATGGACTTTTGGCATTGTCTCAGCACCAGATCAGGTATGGGTTCCCTTGGTTCCAAAGGGGAGTATCTGGAATGAACATATTTCTGGACATGGCTGGGTAATTCTGGTCCTTTTTTAATTCGTCCTGGGCTTCTAACTACTTCCTAAGGACTGGGCTTCTTTCTTCACCTTTTGGGTGATACCACGACACAACAGGTTCTAATATGGGCAAGTGAGCTGGCAAAAAGAAAGCACTTCACTTTGTTCCTGAAGCCAATGCCTGGAGCCAGGGCAGGCTGGGAAGAGTTAGAAGATTGTCTCGAATGCTTATATGTCAAAGCTGTATTTAGGCTGTTATTCTACATGCCTCTGTTCTCAAGTTGAAAAAAATTGCACTTATTTCCACAACATGTCTACTCAGCTCTTCTCAGCATAGCTTATACATCACACCAATAAACCATATTAAACATTTTTAAATAAATCTCTGTTTATACAGAATATACTTGACAGAAACAGCCATCTCCCTTTGCTCCACTTATATCTTCAAATCCCCTTCTCTGTCATGTAGGGGTTTCTCTCCCACACACCAGGTTATGGAGTGCAACCATAATAATGCAGTTTCCTGTAGATCCATGTTATTGGTTTGTTTTTAGGGTTTAATCGATAACATTAAGGAAAAATAAAGATGAAAATTACATAAGTAGAAAACTAGAAAAATAAACTTCCTATTCCTTTTTCTAAAAAGATACATTCTGACATTTAGACAATGATACGAATACCAGTAATCCTCTCTCTCTCTCTTTTGTCTCCTCTTCAGTTGATGCCATACTTTGTCATGGAGATATTTGCGACAATGCCAGGGCTTCCAGGACTTTTTGTAGCTTGTGCCTTCAGTGGAACTCTGAGGTTAGTGGATGGCAACCCTCCATGAAATGATGACCATGATGAAATGACAAGGGTGACAGTGGGATAAATCAACAGGATTTACTAAACAGTTGCTGTGTGTCAACTGCGGTGCTGAATGCTTGGCTTGTATTTGCTCGTTAATTGTTGAACAATGTTTGAGATTTAAACTTTACTCTTATTATTGACAGCTTACAGTTAAGGATACAGAGTTAGCAAGCTAGATGCCCTATCCATTAGTAAGTAATGGGTTAGTAAGCCTAGATCTGTCCCTACCTTAACTGTCTCTGCTTCTTACTTCAACTTGTCCAGTGATGGCTGCCCCCACATTTCTCGTCACCTTTATGGATGTTGGCTCAGTTTACTCGCTTATCTTGTTCCACTGCCATGTATGTCTGCAAATCAGTCTTTTGTATTTCATGTACCCCAATTTCAATAGCTAATTCAGGTAGTTAATAACTTGAATTTTCTTGATAAAAACATTATTCTAAACACAAAATCCATCATATCTTTATTCTTTTAATGTTATAGAAGGCTTCTACTATGCTGGGTACAGTTGGTGACATTGAAGGATATTCTAGCAAGCTAGACTGACTTAAGGTTTACATCCAATAGGGAGGAAATACAAGTGATATATAAGTAGAAATTAAACAAGATGTTTGAGTAATATAAAAGACATCACAAGGTGATAGCCTACAGAGTGATGAGGACTGATGGTTTTAATTTTAATAGGATTTTTAGGAAATATTCTCTGACTAAATGACAGTTGTGTTGAGATCTAAAGGATATGAAAAAAAGCTCTATGAACAGCATAGGCATGGATCTTTATAAGGAAATGACAAATACCACAGCCCTGAAGAGTTCAACTATATGGCGTATCTGAGGAGCAGAGAGAGAACTGGGTCCAGAAGGCATAGAGAGAGGAGTTGATGGGGATGAGTTAGAGGTAAGTGGGGAAGAGGTTATGAAGAGCTTCATGAAATGACAGAGTTCAGATTGCAAGTTCAAAAGGAAAGCATTAGAAAATTTAAGGAAAGGGAGTGAATGAAGCCATGCAATTAAAGACTTGGTCTTCTGTGTGAGGAAGGGATATAATAAAAGGTAGAATGATAAAAGGGGACACTATGTGTAGAGGTTTTTTCCTTAATCCAGGTGGGAGATGATAATGACATATGGATATCAGTTTTCAAAGTAATAGACTAAAATATAAAGATGGGCTCATTACTTTTATTTAGGCTAGACGTTCTACCTTGTGAATCAGAGACTCACCTTGGGAGAAAGTCCCCATTCTGCTTTGTGGAGCTTGGGTGGAAAAAAATCAATGATAGGCCTGGGCAAAGATCAATTTTTAAGATTGTGAAAAGATCAAGCATCAGAAAGCAAATAGTACTGGAAGATGCAAGTAATAAGTTAATATCTTTCATATCTCCTGTCAAGAATATAGAATTGACCATTATTAATCATTTTTTGTTAAACCAGAAGATTTCTGTATTTATATATATATATATATATATATACAACACACATACACTTCAAGTGTACACAAAAGAGATAATGCTGTATATACAGTTTCTTTTTTTATTTAATTCAATAATAAAATTTAGAAATAATTTCATATGACTATATATACTTTAATTATTTTACTGATCTACCATCATTTATTTGACCAGTTATTTCATGAAGGGTATTGCTAACAGTGTTATAATGTGTATCTCAGCAACATTTTAGAAAGATATATGTAGGCTACTTTGCAAGAAGTGGAATTATGGAGTCAGTGTATATTCAATCTAAACTTTGTTAGATATTGCTAAATTGCCCTCCAAAAATGTGCACCATTTTTAATAATGAAATCATTAAATCACCTCCTTATCCACATAACTACCAGTATTGGGTAATATCAAACTTATAAAATTACCGGTTTGATATATAAATCAGTGATAACTAATTTTAATATGAAATACTTCAATTATAAGTGAGATTACTGTTTCTATTTTTATTGATCATTTATATTTCTTTTTCTGTAAAATTCTAGTTCATATTCCTGGTAATTTTTTTCCTCTGAGATTTACACTTTATATATAAGAAAAGAAGCATATTGTCATATGTCAAAAACATATTTTTCTCATTTTTTGTCTATCTGCTTTGTTCATGATATTTTTGAGCTCATAGAAACTTTAATTCATATTAATTAATTTTCAAAATTATGACATGTGTTAACAACATACACAGAAATGCTTCTCTATTTTATGATTATAATAACCATAATAAATACTGAAATTACTGATACACCTAAACTACACATGGGTTATGAGAAATTGAGTGGAGCACTTGATTTGTTTTCCTTCTAAATTAGTAGTGAATTATATCTTTATTTTTGAGTCGATAAGCAATCTTTTCATCACTCATTTGAAATACTACTTTAATTACATTCTACATTCTTTCATGTATTTCTTCCATGTATTTCTGTATTCTTTTTTATATTCTTTTGATCTTTTATTCTGTTGCTACGGCACTACTAGTAATTTTAACAACTGCACTTTAAAATAATTTAGCATCCATTAGGCTGGTACCTTTGTATTACTTTTCTTTAACAGAATTTCTTGATATATAAGGTTTTTCTCTGCCTAATTGTTTTTAGTGGATTCTTTAGTTATTTTCAGATCATATACCTACAAATACTTTTGAATTTTCTCTTTTTGTTTTTCAATTTATTTTATTTGACAGGTAGAGTTACAGACAGTGAGAGAGAGAGACTGAGAGAAAGGTCTTCCTTCTGTTGGTTCACCCCCACCAAATGGCTGCTACAGCTGGCGCTGTGCAGATCCGAAGCCAGAAGCCAGATGCTTCTTCCTGGTCTCCCATGTGGGTGCAGGGGCCCAAGCACTTGGGCCATCCTCCACTGCCCTCCTGGGCCACAACAGAGAGCTGGACTGGAAGAGGAGCAACCGGGACTAGAACATGGGGCCCATATGGGATGCTGGCGCTGCAGGCAGAGGATTAACCAAGTGAGCCATGGCACTGGCCCCTGAATTTTTCTCTTCTAATAGTTACACTCCCTTTTAATTCTCCTGTATAATTGTGCTTTCAGAACAATGATCATTAATAGAAATAATGGCAGAGGGGCTGGCGCAGGGGCTCATTTGGTTAATCCTCCACCTGCGGTGCCGGCATCCCATATGGGCACCAGGTTCTGGTCCCGGCTACTCCTCTTCCAGTCCAGCTCTCTGCTGTGGCCTGGGAAGGCAGTGAAGGATGGCCCAAGTGCTTGGGCCCTGCACCCGCATGGGAGACCAGGAGGAGGCACCTGGCTCCTGGCTTCGGATCGGCGCAGTGCCAGCCGTGGTGGCCATTTGTGGGGTGAAGCAACGGAAGGAAGACCTTTTTCTCTGTCTTTCTCCCTTACTGTCTGTAACTCTACCTGTCAAGTAAATAAATAAATAAATCTTTAAAAAAAAGAAATAATGGCAGAAATTTTTGCTTTATTAGGTACTCTAAAGGGATAGTTCTTGTATTTTATGAGTAAATATGATACTGATTTTTGGTGGACAGTTATTTATATTTAATAATACTTGTAAGATTGGCAAAATTCTAGAGAAAGAACATAAACTCACAAAATACACAAAGTTATGCTAAAATTTTAGCATTTGTATATGATATGTACATACATAATTTTAATTTTTTAATTTTAGCATATTAATATACTGATAGATTCCTAAAATAGCAATATCCTTGAATTCATATATTGATGTTACCTTGCTGAGAGTGTAAATTTAATTTAGGCTACTGGTGAATTATTGTTACTAACATTATATTTATGGTTTGCATTAAAAAATTAAAGTGGTGGTGCTCTGTGGTATTGATATTAGGATCCCAAGGAAAATAGGGACAGAAAAACATGAGTACCAGAGGATCAAACATGAGTAGGGATGGCATTCACACTTTTTTTTTCTTGTGTCTTCCTCCATAGCTGTATTCTCTCTTACTTTAAAACTAACTCTCTCCATATGTGAAAAATATAGCTGTAAAAAGGTTAACTTAACTTTTTGAGAATTCTCATCTTCTTGATCCTAAGTTAAAAAATTCCAAGGAAGAGACATATTGGGCAGGATATGCTATGGGTTATGGGAAGTTTACTACTGCTAAAATGACAAGGAGTGTGTGGGGATAGAAAAAAGGAAAGAATGGAGGTAGACCAACGAGGTGGTGGTGGTTAAGGTTAAGGCAAAGCAATGCAGCAGAGGTCCTACAAACAAAAACTGTCTGAGCTGAATTCTGCTATCTGCTTCTTCCCATCAAGGGAATCTTAATGTTTGAATCTTTCACATGATACATTATCAACGTTTTTGGGAGCATGGGAGCTTCTGACTTTTATGGGGCTGTGGATAGAAGAGGAAATCTGGCAGGGAATAGACACCATGCCTTTATTTTTAGGAAAATGAAATGGAACCCCAAAGTACTAAATTTATATTCCCAGAAATGGGTGTTGGGAAGTTTCTGTTTGCTAGCTATGTCATTTAGGGAGGCATAGCTATCTGCTATTTTAAAGTGGGCATGTAGGACACACTCTCACAACTTCACAATTTAAATCAGCTGTATAACTGGTATTAAATGTTTGTGTCTCTAGAATATAAGCTCTATGTCTTTCCAAATTGCATGCCTTGTACTCAGAATGAATAAAACGCTACTGTATAGACAAATAAATTATAAGAATGTCAAACTACACTGATCCCTTGATTAAGATAATCACTACTTCCTACCTCCACTGCAACATCAACACTCACTCATTCACACACACACACACTCACACATGCACACAATTCCTCTGCTACTCTGTGGTTACTCATCTAACATCTTGTTAAAGGAAGTTAGTGGGAGTTACAGCATAACATTCTTCCTTCTTCAATGGAGTTTGTGGAAGAACTGGCAAGCATTAGTACAGAAGAAGATTTGCAGAGTGAGTGAGCAGGTCATGTAGTATATGATTACCAAGACATGACGTATACCTATATCTCTTTTTTTTTCTAGAGCTGTGCCTTGGTTGTCCACCCTGAACAATGAAAAGATTGGTGGTGGCTCAGCCTTATTTACCTTTGATTATGTTCTCTTTTCTTCTCCTGTAGCACGGTAGCTGCAAGCATCAATGCCTTAGCAACAGTGACCTTCGAAGACTTTGTCAAGAGCTGTTTTCCCCATATTTCTGAAAAGAAGAGCACCTGGATCAGTAAAGGATTATGTAGGTACAGCTGGTGGATCTGAGTCATGAAATGCACATGCAGTATATGCCAAAGCTCTGCATGTTCCATTCAAGATACACTTACGCAGGAACTCATGCAAACCGAGTTACTTGAAGAATCTTACATGTGGATTCTTTTTTTTTTTTTAAGATTAGTTTTTATTTATTTGAAAGTCAGTTATACAGAGAGAGGAGTGGCAATGAGAGAGAGAGAGAGAGAGAGAGGTCTTCCATCTGCTGGTTCACTCCCCAATTGGCCCCAGTGGCCGGAGCTGTGCTGATCCAAAGCCAGGAGCCAGGAGCTTCTTTCAGGTCTCCCAAATGGGTGCAGGGACCCTAGTACTTGGGCCATCTTCTACTGCTTTCCAAAGCCATAGCAGAGAGCTGGCTGGTAAGTGGAGTAGCCAGGACTCGAACCGATGCCCACATGGGATGCTGGCACTGCAGGTGGCAGCTTTACCCGCTACACCAGAGCGTAGGCCCCATATGCGGATTCTTATCCTTCCAAATATACGAGGGGGATACAGGAAGGATTTACCTTACACTGTCATTTTTCAGGTGCTCATCTGTGCTCACTCTGTACTCCACACTCCCAACATCATCTCTTCATTATGTTAAGTGTTGATCATATTAGTCCTGTTAGGAAGAAATTCTTTTTCTGAAAAATCATCACTTATCTGAAGCTCTCAGAAACCTCAACTCAAAGAAAAATTGCTCCATGCTTAATCACACAATTGCATGCTATGGTTATTATCACCACTACACTTATATTGAATAGTAGTTTTATAATGTCTACTTTTTTAAAAACATAAGCAAATTTATACTTATTTTCTTATTATAGAAAATGTAAATATTTTGGCAAATATGTATATTTGTTAAAAAATTTCTATTTTTCTAATGTAATATAGTGAATTTTTTCCTGGACCATTATATATTTTTTGAGGACACAGTATTTAAAGGGTTACATAATATTTTATCAAATGGCTTATTTACTTCATTTTATGTTACTGCTACTTCTAAAAATTATTTTTCATTTTTGCAACTCTTTGATAAAGCCCATGTACAGAAAATGTTGACTACATTCTTATTTTCCCTTAGTACAAACTTCCAAAAAAAAAGTACCATCTAAAAATACAAATTCAGGGCTGGCATTGTGGCATAAGGAGTTAAGCCATTGCCTGCAATTCTGGCATCACATATGGGTGCCTGTTCATGTCCTGGCTGTTCCACTTCTGAGCCAGCTTCCTGCTAATGGCCTGAGAAAAGCAGCAGATTCCCTGACCAAAGTAAAATCATTACCCTTGTCCTAGAAAGTATTCCCATGCCCTTTCCAGTCATTCCATGCCCCCATTCCTCGCAAGAAGCAAGCACTATTCTGATATTTTCCACTATAGATTAGTTGTATCTCTTCTAAAATGTCATATAAAAGAGATCACACAGTATGCACATTTATTTTTCATGACTCTTTTCAAAGCATCATGCTTGTGATATTTATTTATGCTATTTTGTGTAAATAATTCATACTCGCTTATTGTTGAGTTTCACACCATATATGGATACACTCTTGAAGTATACAGTTGTCCCTTGGCATCCACAGAGGTCAGATCCATGGCCTCCTTGGATAACAAAATCTTTGGAAGCTCAAGCCCCAGTATTTACACAGTATTTGTATATAAACTACAAACAATCTTCCATATGCTTTCTGCTAGATTACTTATATAATGCAATGTAAATGTCAGGAAAATAGCTGTTACAATATATTGGTTAGGGAATAATGACAAGAAAAAGTCTGTACTTGTTCAGCACAGACATACCTTTTTTCTAAAATATTTTTGATCCTTGGATAGTTGAATCCTTAATTGCAGAATCTGGGGATTTGAAGGGCTGACTAACTGTATGTATCTATTGATGGTCCTGGACTGTTTCAGTTTAAGGTTATTATGAACACAGTTCCCATGAATACTCTTGTACAAGTCTTTTTCTGAACATGTTTTCATTTCTCTTTGATTGGCAACTTGAGATTGCTTGGTCAGCCATTCTTTCCTAGTAGCCCTTCCTTGCAACATCTGGATCCATTGTTATTTAAATATTGTATTTCAATTTACCTTGTTGTTTAATGTCACTTATTTGCTGTTGACCTGCATTTGTTTGCTTCATTGACTGTGTGTATTCCTACATCATATGGAGACTACTAGTTTTTAAGAACTTTTCTTTCCTGATTCTTTTTTTTTTTTTTTTTTTGACTGGCAGAGTGGACAGTGAGAGAGAGAGAGAGACAGAGAGAAAGGTCTTCCTTTGCCGTTGGTTCACCCTCCAATGGCCACCGCGGCCGGCGCACCACGCTGATCTGAAGCCAGGAGCCAGGTGCCTCTCCTGGTCTCCCATGGGGTGCAGGGCCCAAGCACTTGGGCCATCCTCCACTGCCCTCCCTGGCCACAGCAGAGAGCTGGCCTGGAAGAGGGGCAACCAGGACAGAATTCGGCACCCAGACCGGGACTAGAACCCGGTGTGCCGGCACCCCAAGGCAGAGGATTAGCCTAGTGAGCCACGGCGCCAGCCTCTTTCCTGATTCTTAAGATGAACTACTTCCAGCAAGTGTGCTCCTTGAGCTTTTAGGTTAATATATTCCTTACCTTCTCTGGCAACATTACATTTTCTATTTTACTTATGCTGACATTATCTTTATACATTGCTGAGATTCACCTAGCTTTTACTCAAGGTCTGAGTTAGAGCTACTAGCATGTAGATGATGTTGCTCCCAGTACAGTTTGTAATTCCTACCAGATGTTCTTGACTATGTTGGATTGAGGTAGAAGTTTATTGCATGCCCTGTGTTTTGTTTCTGATCATTTGAGTTGATGGTAGCCCTGGGGTTAAAGAAAAAAAAAAAAAAAAAAACCTCAGCATTTTCTATAACTGTGCTGTTTTTTTCTCTCTCTCTCACCTTTATTGCTTTGTTTGAAGGGCATTGTTACACCTCAAACCTTTATGGAGGGCCCACCAATTTCCCCCTTAACTTCCTGCATTCCAGATGCAGATTGCTGCGAAGATTTAGCAGGGATGCAACTGAATCAATTCTGGACTTAGAAAAACAAAAGGTAGAACCTTTGAGTTGAGAAGTGGGTACCTAGAATCTCATTTAAACAGATGACTGTTGGCCCATCTAGAGGGAAATCAGCAGAAGAGAAAACATATCTTTTGTTCTTTGCTTCAGGCAAGTGGAGCTGTCCAGTTTTCAGGAAGCAATGCAGAATGTGGACAAAAATTGTTTTCAGCAATCTACCAAGTTTAAAGAGAATGGACCATTTTAGAATTTCAATAAGTGCTTATTGATCAAACTTGGCTTTTAGTGTTATTGCAATTTCCTTATTTTTGAGAATCGAAAACCACATCAAAAGTTGTTAGGGGGTAGGTAGTTGGTCTAGTGATTAAGATGCCTGTGTCCCCTATCAGAATCCCTGAGTTCAAGTGGAGGCTCCCTATTGCAGTTCACTGCTAATGTGGACTCTGAAAGGCAGTGGTGATGGCTCAAATGAATTATTTCTCGCCATCATGCGGGAGACCTGGACTGAATTCCTGAATCCTGGCTTCAGTCAAGCCCTAGCTATGGTGACCATTTGGGAAATGACCAAGTTTCTTATAATAAATATACAATAAATTAATGAACACTAATACTAAATCTGAAGTAAAATAATGATGGTAAACACACAGTATTTGCTGTGTATCAGGTATTATTTTTGGATTTATGAGGGACCCTCGAAAGTTCATGGAAGGGCTGGCATTGTGATGCAGCAGTTAAACCATTGTTTGTGATGCTAGCATCATGTATTAGAGTGTCAGTTCAAGTCTTGGCTACTCCATTTTTGATGCACCTGGGAAGATAGCACAGGGTGACTCCAGTGCTTAGGCACCTGATACCCTCATGGGAGACCAGAATGAAGTTCCTGAATCCTGGCTTCTGCCTGGTCCAGACCCGGCTATTGTGATCATCTGCGGAGTGAACCAACTTATAGAAGAGATCTCTCCTTCCACTCTTTCAAATAAATAATAAATAAATTTTGAAAAATTCATGAAAAATATGTTATGGAAAAACTATGTATGGATTTCAAAATATTCTTGCATCAAAATAATCTTATTTTTAATTCATATTCCCCCCTCTACTTTTGGAGTACCCTGTGTGCACACACATGTGCACATGCACACACCTATCTACCCATCTACTGATCTATCATCTATGTTTCTATCTGTCATCTATTTATTTGTTATTATTAGATAAATTTATTTATGTGCAGTTCCTTCCTAAAATGTGAGATAATGTGAGATTTTTAGAGGCAAGAATCAAGTTCTGACTTTGTAACACTGCTATGTAGGAAAGTGCTCAATAAATGATGCATATTCAGTACAGTTGAATTCATAGTCATATTGGGAACTGGGCTGGCTATTTACTTTACAGAGAATATTCAAATGGGATAAAATGAATCCTTTTATATCCAGTTCTATCACTGTGTCTCTGTATGTGTCTACGACTCTGACTACTTTTTCCTGTTTTATTTTGTTTAAAGAGTAACCATCAGAATTGAATATATTCAATTAAACAAAGATATACTAAAAGCATTAACTTTTTAAAAGATTATTTAAGGAAAGACGTTTGGCATGGCAGATTAGATTCCTCATGGAGTGCCTGGTTCATTTCCTGGCTTTGTTCTCAATTTCAGCTCCCTAATATTGTGCACACTGGAAGGCAGCAAATGATAGTTTATGTACTTGGCCTTTGCTACATACATGGGAGACCTGGAATGAGAATCTGGTTCCTCACTTAGGCCTGGCTTAGCTTTGAATATTGTAGAAATTTAGGAGGTGAACAAGTGTGTGGGAGATGTCTTTCTGTCTGACTGTCAGAAAAATAAAATAAATACATTTTTAAGCAAAATCATTTAAAAGAGGACATTTTCTTAAACAAATGACTAGCACGTACACTCCGATTCATTCAGCAGATCTCTGTGATGCTAGAAGAGCAGTATTCTGAAGCCTCTTGAAGGGTATGCAAATGAAAATAGACATTAATGTAATATAAATAAGGGTCAGAAGGATGGTATGAATAAACCACTAAAGGGAAAAAGCAGGAAAACTTTTCAGAGTTTCAAAAGCTTTGAGGTAGAATGTATAGATATTATTCAGCCATCTTTAAGATGAAAAAGTAGGTCAACCCCAGAAAGGTTAGTAGCTTCTCTTTCAGCTCATTGCTGATGAGTGAATGATCTGGAAGTCATTCCCATGGATTCTAAGTTAGTATGGACTATTTCACATCCCCATGCTCTTTCCAATGGAAGGTGTTTTTCTGGAATCCAGGAAAGAAAGTCCATCCTTTCCAGTTCACTTTAAACTCCAGCTCACTTTGTCTGTCCTGAGAAAGCGTGCACTCAGGAGAGAATTTCCTAGAAGTCTCCTTCCCCGATGTGGGGTCTGTGTGGCTGGAGAGGAGGACAGTCTTCAAAGAGATGCCTTCAAGTAGAGATTGCATCAGGAACATTTCCAGGTGGGGATCAAGAATACCATGAAGCCAAGGAGCTCTGAAAAAAATGTATGATCATCATTCTTCTTTCTTTCAATCAGGTCTCTTGTTTGGTGTGATGTGTACCTCCATGGCCGTGGCTGCATCCCTCATGGGGGGTGTTGTGCAGGTAATGAAAGAGGATAAATACATAATGGATTTCATAGCAGCTTTCTTCCCACTCTTTTTTCTGATGTTTTTTTTTTCTGTTTATCTGAGCCCCAAATGCTGACCTTCACAAGTACCAGGTCCAAATAAAATATACATATAAAATATCTACCAATTTACTTTCAAAGTGATAACTATTAAAATGAATAGTGACACAGTAACAATGTACATTGTAATAAATTGGAAACAATCTAAAATCCAGATCATAGCCTTTATGATCCTGAAGTAGAAGTAATAACCATCATCATCATAATAAAATCAATAACATTTATTGCATAACTATATAACACTTATGGTCCTGGCTTCAGACTTAAATGTATTACCATATTTAACCCTCAGCACTTCTCCAAGAGATAGTGTACTAATTTTACATATGCAGAAACTAAGAAATAATTATCCCATAGTCTAAAGAGTGTTACAACTAGCATACAAAACTACCTCACACTGTTATCCAAGCTTCCCATATGTCTAATTCATACTTCTGAAAGAAGCCTTAAGAACAATATGGGTCAACATTTTCATTGCATAGATGATCACAAAAAAGAGTAGAAATATCATATTCAAGTTCACATGTCAGGTTAGTTACTGCACCAGGTTTCTTACACAAATCCTCTGACTCACTCCCAAACCCACTCTTCAAATTATCCAACTCAAAAAACAGTATCACATATACAAGTCATAGGATTCTGCTTCAACAAACCCAAGTAGTCCTGAGCGCAATTAAACATTCTTTAGGTTTGTTTGGCATGGCATTGGTTCTCAATAAATGTTGTTGAAATATAGAAATGACAAAGTGTGAGTGACTAGCAATAACTGACACTTATAGAATGCTTTCTAGTTTACTAAGAAGTGCATCTTGCTTGATCCTCTCAGTGACTACTTACATTAATTCCATAATTTCCATTTTAATGTTCTGGAATCAAGTGATAATTCACTTTTCTACTTAAAACAGTTTGTGGGACTACAAATCCAGAAATCTCTCTAATATAATAAGCTGGATCAACTGTTTTATCACAGATACATGACAATCTCTTCATAAGACTTGAAACTCTCAGATTTCTATCCAGCCTAATTACAGAAGAACTGGCAGGTTGGTGTAGTTTATCTGTAGTGACCTCCAGTGTATTTCTAGGGTTTCTCTTTCCCATTTAAGGGAATTATATTTCCAAATTGCCTCTGGTTACCTTGAATTTCACTGCTTTTGCCTCTGTTTTACAATCAGTATTTAGTCTTCACTATTTACTCTTAAGTATCGTGCCCATTTTGGTGATAATTAAAATTACTAAATTATCTCCTTTCACAGATATTTGCATGAAGCTCCTTTGCAATTGAGGTATGAGGGGCCTGAGAATACCTAAGGGCTCCTGCAATACTGGAATGAAGAGGGCATTCTGAGGGATGTGCTCATCTGTTTGTTCTAGTGCAGAGGAGTAACCTGGGCCTACTTTCTTGATTGTTTAAAATGTGGAACACATAGTTCACACAGCTTAGGAGATACAGATAGGCAATAGCTGCAAACCCCATTGCTCTGTTTCCTAGGAGAGGTATTTGTCTCTAAAGTGGCCCACTCACTTCGCTGAACACAGCTGCTTCTGAAAGGCACAGAAAAACAACTTAATTCCCTCTTTGATTTCCTAAATGGCTTAGCAATATTGAATTTAATGAAATTACATTCACATCCAGATTTGACATACGTAGAGGAGATAAAAAAGCCGAGCCCCAGAAGGTGTGAGGGACAGAGCCAGGAATAATTCCATGTTTACAAAACCATTCTACATACGTGGAATGTGTTCCTGGGTGGTACTGGGGGTGACAGGCAGTTTTAAACTCCTAAAGGTCTTATTGTTTCAGTTTAGGACTTGACAAAGTGAAATCTGGAGAATCTCATCCTGTGAAAAGCTCCAAGAAAGATTATTTCTAGTCAAAGACGCTGAGAAAATGTGATACTCTGCATGCCTCTTTCAGGGATCCATATGCACAGTACATGTTAGCATATCGAAGGCACTGAGAAATCCTACAGTAAACCAAGTCAATTCACTTGGAATATGGGGCTCCATAACATAATGGATTAGAGGACAGAGGGGAGGGAGGGCATATCTGATAACAGCGAAAATCTCCTGTTAGCTAGTGACTTCCAGAACTCACTTTGAGAAAGGCCATTCTATTAATATAGTGCTGTCCCAAAGACTATCATCTATTTCTGCAAAGGGCCATAATCTCCAGACTTATTCTCAGTTGCTTTCTCTCTCTCTCTCCTCTCTCTCTCTCTGTCTCTCTCTCTGTGTCTCTCTCTCTGTCTCTTTCCTTTCCTTTTTTTCCAAAGGGAGGCAGGAGGAGGATTCACTCTTCAAATACCCTCAAGAGCCAAGGCTGGGTTAGATGGAAGCCAGGAGCTGAGAGCTCAATCCAGGTATCCCAAGTGGGCAACAGGTAGGAAACTATCTGATTTGTCACCTGCTGCCTCACAAGATGTGCATTTGCAGGAAGCTGAATGGGGGAATGGATCCAGGACTTGAACTCAGATACTCAAATAGGGACATCGGCATCCCAAGAAGCTTCATAACTTTATCATCTGTCCCCTAGGACATTTTTATTTTAAGAAAGCACTTTTTAGGGGATGGCATTGTGGCACAGTAGGTTATATGCCACCTGCAATGCTGGTATCCTATATGAGTGCTGCTTCTAATTCTGACTGCTCTATTTCATATCTAACTCCCTGATAATGCATTTGGGAAACCAGTACATGATAGTCCAAGTACTTGAGTCCTTGCCATTAACATGGGAGACCCAGAAGGAGTTCCAGGCTCCTGGTTCAGCCTGATCCACCCCCTACAGTTGCAGCCATTTGGGGAGCAAATCAATGGATGGAAAACTTTCTCTCTGACTCTGCTTTTAAAATAAACAAACATTTAAAAAAAGAAAATAATACTATCTTTAAATACAAAACCCTGGAAATTTTTTTCCATTACATCTTGTGAGGGTCTTATTATCTGAAACCTATTGGTAATGACCTTCTAAGAGATTATCAATTTTGGTCTCAAATGGAGAGGCAAATGCTTTTACCATCTTATTGCCTTTCTTATATCATAACTGGTAAATTAATTTCCAAATTTGACAATCATATCAACTGTGAATCAACAAAAGAAATACCAAGAGTATTAAATATTGATGTGTCTATGGGGGAAGTCTTTAATCTTCTGCTTTCATGACAAAGGTATATTGGAGGTATTTATTCTGCGAAAATTAACCTAGGACAACAACTATACCAATATATTGCAGCTCATCCTTCTGAACAAAGAAATTACATTACAACCAGAGAGGACCTGAAGTTCCTTTGGCCCTATGCCTTTACTTTATATACAGGAAGAATGAAATGCTCTCAATTTGAATGAATGTGAGCTAATAGCAGAAAGTTCTCTGAATACTACTTATATGTGGCAGAGCCAAAATTAGAAATTCAAAGATTCTATTAGTAATTGACGCTTTCTCTCCTAAGGAAAAGAAGGAAGCTATTAGAGTAGTCCATGATCTTGACTTTGTTTTTTAAAGATTGCTTTTAGGAAATAAAATATGGGTTTTCGAGAAAGAAAAACTTGGATTTATATTTCACCTTTACAACTTTCTAAATAGAAATAGAGCTTTAGTATGCTGTCAGCCTCAGTTTATCATCTGTGAACTTCAGTTTAATTATCTAACGTACTTCATGATTGTGAGAATTAAATGAGGTCATTTGTCTACAGTGCCTGGGAAGTTCTGGCGCATGAGTGGTGTCTGACAAATCTAAATTTGTGTAAGATCTTTAGAGCATCCAAACCTCAGTCCTTTGATGTAAAAGCCCTAGAGTTTCATTGATGAAAATGGATAAGGCTGCATGAGAGTAGTTTTGTGTACACATATGTACTTTTGTGTATGCCTGTATATGCATTTGCACATGATCACTCAAATGCAAATTACTGACAGTCCATTATCGATTTACTAGACTGAATAAGTTTCAGACTAGGAGATATAAAATGCATTGGCCAAACTCCTTCAATTTCTCAAGACAGAGTCATATGTATGAGAGAGAAAAATGAGTTATGAAATGTCTATGGCTCCTCCGTAACACTCTAACTTAGTGCTTCAATATCCTGGAGGTGTTCTGGATGGGATGGGGGGCAGTTGATAACAGACATTTATTATTATAAAAATGACAGAAATGTTCAAACTACAGTAGAGCAGCTAATTAGCTGTCTAAATACAAATCATAAATTATACATGTGGTACATTATAAATAAAACTTTTATATAAAAAGATTAAAAACAAATTGATGAGTTCCAGCTGGAGGAAAAGATACTCCAACCAAATCCAAATCAAATTACCTTTACTTCCAGTATACATATTCACACACACACACACACACACTTCAAAAAGTTAAGTTCATAGAAAATAGAATTAAAAAATGTTTATTGTGGTGAAGAATTTTTGAAATCCAAGTATGCATCTTCCATGAACTTTTTGAAGAATGCTCATATACAGGGGTGTGTGTGGGGAGGTGTCTGTATGTGAGAGAGAGAGAGGGAGAGAGTTTATGTATGTGTGTATCAGAAAGCACACAATTAATGAATGGCATGATCAGGTTTAGGATCAAATTTCATTCCAGGTCCAAGAAAGGGATGTTGCCAAGTAAGCCATGGATGCAATGGAGTCAGGATTTTATCTAGTCTGTTCTGTTCCATAGGCTGCCCTCAGCATCCATGGCATGTGCGGGGGACCAATGCTGGGTTTGTTCTCTCTGGGACTCATATTCCCTTTTGCGAACTGGAAGGTAAGTATCTTCATCTCTCTCTACATTCTCAGCTAACACTGGGCCCCAGCCATTCTCTTTCTCCTCTCATTTTTGCTTGAAAAGGCTATTTGTCTTTGCTAAGAAAAGAATGGTTATTTTGTTTTGAAGGAAAAGAATCCGAAGTAGAATTAAACAGGACCATGGCCCTCCAAACTACAATTTCAATGAAGCCTTTTTAGAAACAGACTCACTGCAAAGGAGGGAAGCAGTAGTCATGAACGACCATATATCATAGAATTAAATTTGGTTCTGTGGCATTTAAATTTGGTATTGTCTACATTAAGAGCCCACACAATGAACTCTGCAAAATATATCAAATTCAGAAATAGTTCAGTTAAAGCATAATTTTGAAAATCCAAATTAAAAATATTTAAATTTACCTAGCGGCGCTGGCACACCAGGTTCTAGTCCCAGTCGGGGCACCGGATTCTGTTCTGGTTGCCCCTCTTCCAGGCCAGCTCTCTGCTGTGGCCCAGGAGTGCAGTGGAGGGTGGCCCAAGTGCTTGGGCCCTGCACCCCATGGGAGACCAGGAGAAGCACCTGGCTCCTGGCTTCTGCCTTCGGATAGGCGCCATGCGCGGGCAGCAGTGCGCCGGCCGCGGCGGCCATTGGAGGGTGAACCAACGGCAAAAGGAAGACCTTTCTCTCTGTCTCTCTCTCTCACTGTCCACTTTGCCTGTAAAAAAATGTAAATTTAGCTTATTATATAGTATATTGATACTTAACATTATAACTAACTTAACTGATTTATGTATAGGAGGAGGAACAAATATGGAATAGTCTGGTACCTGGTCATCTTGTTTTGCTGGGCTGGCAAGCACTAATAGTATGTTTTCAAGTAAATGTTGGTTTGATGACTATTTAGTTATTACATATAAAACAACTATTTGGAAAATAATATTTTTAAAATATTTAAAAGTCATGAAGTTTTCAATTTAGTAATATCATCATTTTTCATTTATTGGCATCCACATACTTGTATGCACTTTTTTTTAGAAATTACTCAGACTCTGGAAAATCTGACTTGATGCTTATTTATGTTTATACCATAGGGTTCTCCATTAAGCTTGAGTCAGATGGTATACTTAATTGGGTCTCTGTGGTTTCCCAACCCTCACTGAATTCTCTTCTAGATAAATCTTACAGGAATAGGTAGAGAAATCGGATGGGTTGTAGAAATTTGGGCATTTGTCATTTCCCCTGAAGTCTTATTTGGAAAAATTCATCTTAATCATTTTTCTTGATACTTAGGTTGACAGGGATATCTATGTACTTAGAGAGACAATCTAAAGAAAGACATTTGCCTAACTCCAAAAGCTATGTACTATATTTGAGGTCTTAGTGCACTATGAACTTTAATGTATTGCCTATGTTAAAGCATTATTATCCTTATATTTAGTAAGGAAAACCAGCTTGTTCTTTAAGGAGAATAAATAATATAAATCTGCGTCATCTTTCCCCTTGACTTTGACCATGCTGATTCTACACAGACTGTGGACACAGTCTCAGAACCTCTCTCAACATGACTCTCTAAGCAACTGCCATCAATCAGCCAGGGCTGACTCTCCGCTGAAACCCCTTTGCCCTTTTTACTGGTAGGCCAGGGGTCAGCAAACTGTAGCTCTGGCATCAAATCTAGCAGGCCTCCTGTTTTTAGTATGGTCTGCAAACTAGCAAATGGTTTTGGCATTTTTAAATAGTTGAAAAAATCAAAAGAAGCATCTTTCATGACACATGAATATCATATAAAATTCAAATTTCAGTGCTCTTTAACACAGTTTTACTGAAACACTACCAGACCCTTCTGTTTAGATATTGTCTTGGGTTACATTTATGCTACAGTGCCAGAGTGATGGAACCATGATTCATAAAGCTAAAAATATTTTTGTCTTGACTGATTACAGCAGAAATTGCAGACTCCTGTTCTAGACCAAGGCACAGTTATTCAAGTCACACATTGCTATAGTTTCTTCAAACAATAATGGAGAAAGCACTCTTGCACTCTTATCAAGAACTCTTTTTCAACATAAACAGAGAAGACAATAATTTGTTTTTTCTTACCTAGAAGGCTCAGCTGCCTAGCAGAGACCAAAAGTATCAAATGCTATTATCCAGGAATCCTGATCTCTGTCTGGCTACTCTGTCTCCTTTTCAGGAGGAATGGCTTCTTAATTTTTCACTGTTAATAAAGAAACATAACCATTAAATGACAAGGATAGTAAATACATTTGCCAGTATTTAAACTCAAATAGAAAACTACAGAATTTAAGAGTCAGGGACTCTGCCAGAATCACTTTGGAAGAGACATAGGAGTAAGAGTCCCAGTACAATAACTGTCTATGAAAAAATGATCACATTGTCTCCATTATCCAGTTTCTTTAACTTCTGAAACTCTGTTGTCGGACATTAAGGTTTCAACAGCTTTATAGTAGTACATGGAATAAATCAAGGGGAGAAAAAACAGTCTTGCTAAAAAGCTAAATAAATGATTACTATGCAATTCTCTTTAAATGTCTTCATTTAAAAAATAAATTACTCCTAAATAAAAGTACACTATGGGAGATGAAATGATGGCGGTATGGCTGATTACAATGCATGTGGCCAAGATTGGGGTGGAAATTCAGAATCGCAAAGGCATAGGGCTGCATCTCACTATTCGTTGAAAAGATACCCTTATGAAATCTCTAACCAACTTTTACCTCTTTTCATCAAGGGTGCACTAGGAGGCCTTCTGACAGGAATCACCTTGTCATTTTGGGTGACCATCGGGGCCTTTGTTTACCCTGCACCACCCGCTAAGACATGGCCCTTGCATTTATCAATAGACAAGTGTGATCATTCCAATATGACGACATCAGTACCTCCAGTAACATCAAGCAGGTATGCTGATTTTAAAGATGCTACTATGTTCCAGGGAATGAAACTGGCAGAGGAAGGTGATTTCCTCAGGGATGAGTCTGAAAAATCACATCTTGTTCTCCTATGACAATCACACTGGGTAGCACCCATAACTGAACAGTGCCACACAGGGCTCCAGCTTTCTGCAAGCCTCTGTGACTCCACGTTCAGATGTTCAAAGTGAACTTAGTAAAAATATTCATTAGAAGTATGTGTGCAAAGCAAAAAAAAAACATTGTGAATAACTGGAGACTATGTACGAGGCATAGGGACATAATATCTTTAAAGGAATATTAGATGAGCAGAACCGTAATGAAGAGAATGGTTATAGACATACAGAATCAAAAGCACTGCTGTGAACTTATGGTTTCTAAATCAAGTCCACAGCTGTAGGGCTTATCAAAATATTTCCCTTTATTTTCTGTTTCTGGGTAGTATAAAGTGGAAGAAACAAGAGTGGGGAGAAAATCAAGATTTCTTTTTTTTAAGATTTATTTATTTATTTGAAAGTCAGAGTTACACAGAGAGAGGAGAGGCAGAGAGCGAGAGAGAGAGGTCTTCCATCCTATAGTTCACTCCCCAATTGGCCACAACGTCCAGAGCTGTACTGATCCAAAGCCTGGAGCCAGGAGGTTTCTCCAGGTCTCCCACATGGGTGCAGGTACCCAAGGATTGGGCCATCTTCTACTGCTTTCCCAGGCCACAGTAGAGAGCTGGACCAAAAGTGGAGCAGCTAGGTCTCAAACCAGCAACCATATGGATGGCGGTGCTTCAGGCCAGGGCATTAACCCACTGCACCACAGCGCTGGCCCCTGAAAATCAAGATTTCAAATTGGAAACATCTGGCTTTGGATTTTCTTTTACTACTTATACTTCATCATTGGGCAAGTTAGTAACCTGTCACTTCTTGTATACTTAGAGCTCTTGGCTGAAATAATTAAAATATTGGTATCTATTTTCCCAGGTTTTTAGGATAGGATTGAGTGAGGCTGTATATATGTATAATTACATATGTATATTTATATTTGTATGTATAAGTAAGTGTACCATATTCAACAAATGTACACTCTCACATTCTAACTGTATGTAAGGGAAGGTCTAGATCTATTGTCCTTGTATCCAGAGAAGTACCTTGGTATTTGTGATGGACCCATTCTGATTCTCATATTGGTACTTTTCCTCTGGATTCGCACTTCTAAAAATTGCTGGTATCCACCTATGTATAGAACCCAGCCCACTGTGCTGTTTCTTTCTCCTGCCTGTGCTTATTATCTTCTTTTTTGGAATGGAAAATCTGGCCCTAACTTATCTGTTTGCTGAATTATTTCTAACCGCTCCTTCAAATAGTGATATTTGTGGTTCTAGGATGAATTGTATGGAGTGGAATATAAAGCACAATTAGTGTATTATTGATCCTATTTTTAAAAGAACTAAATGTCAAGAAATTAAGATTTGGGGTTCTGAGAGGCCCTAAAGTGGGCTTGAGCAATCCCCTAAGTCACTCTGGATCATACCCTCAGACTGCACAGAAACGGTGAAATGTGCTGTTGTCCTCCACAGACCTGCGTTAGCTGACTCCTGGTACTCGCTCTCGTACCTTCACTTCAGTACAGTGGGCTGCCTGGGATGCATTATTGCTGGAATAATAATCAGCTTCATTACAGGTTGGTTTTTGTGGATTCCTCTCTTGGTAGTCTGAGAAATTACGAGCTCTTCATGCCTTGGTGGACTGGTGGCTATTTTGTTGATTTGATTTTAAGTGCAGCACATAAAGCTTTCTTTCCAGCAATATCAATTCTGTTCAAGCTGGCATACAAAAGCACTCACCTGATCATTGTATATCTGATTATTAATATATATATATGTACATATATATAGAGCATGTAATTAAAATATCTCTCATATAAAATCAAATAAAAATACTTTGACATGTGGCCCTCAAAAGCACTTTGTAACCTAATACATAAGAAATGCTAAATATTAGAAGTGGTCTTTTCCCCTTTCATCTCAGTAATGGACTGGAGTTTCACCACCACCACAGGACTAATCTTTGCTAATGTACTAGATAAGCCAAAGAGTCTTGTTTTTGCCTGTGTTGTCCTTTGCAGGCCACTCCTCTGCCATTGAAAAGCTCTCTACAGGGAGCAGCTTTGCTGGAATCTTGGTAACTGTATTTTGTAAAGCCAATTTTGGTAACTGTATTTACCAAGTATAATTTCAACCGTGGCTCAATGTGCTTTTTCTGTGTTAAACCTCACATGGGATTGGTTGTGTTGCTATGGAGAAAGGGAGAGAATGCAGAGAAACAGGCCTACTGTGGTCTTATCCCTTTGCCTCCTTGGAGCATGCATGCAAGCTGAATAGGTTACTAAGCTATTCTACTTTTCCACTACAGCCACATAACTCTAAGCATTGACAGTCAATATGCACACTCCCCAAAGAATCTGAATGAATGACGGTTCTGGTGACCATGTAATTAAAAACATTATGTGCAACCTCTGATGCTTTATTATTCTGTGCCTGATATCATTAGTCATTCATTTACATTTAAGAACATCTTGGTTTTGGTAAACAATAGAAGAAAAATTTTCTAATTCAAGCATTTCATGGAGCAACAATTCGTTAAATTTTTATGTAAACAGTTTCAAATGAAATCTTGTTCATTTTGCTTAGATTTTTCCTCACGACTCTGACATCTTTGGATGTTTCCTTGAAGTTAGTGAGAAACAGTCAGGGATATCAGTCAAGCTGTCAATCATCACTAAGAAGACAGCCAATGTTTAAACTGACTGAATCCAAAGCAAAGAGTATGTGTACACGAAATCCTAGGACTTTCCAGTACATATATTTTCCAGATGTGCATCAGAATTCACATGGTTTGGTATTGATGGTTTATTTGGGTTGAAAATTCTTTGCCATCGTGTGCATAAACACTTGTGTTGGTACCTATCCCTGAGTTTTCTTTTCCTTCAAATGTCACAGTCTTTGTGAATTTTCCTTAAGCTCTAAATGCAGCAGCCTATCATGGTGTAATTATACCACAAACCTTTGGGGAAAGTACTGAACCTGGTCACCAGCTGTTCTTGCTTCCTGGTGACTATCTTTGAATTGAGGCCCTGGTGCTAACCTGATGTTCTCAGATCTGATCACAATGAGGTTTCAACAACTTTTCATAATTCCCAGTGACTATTTTTTAAATTGTTAAAATATTGGGCTTTTCCTAGGGAAAAGCAAGTAGGGAAGGGCAGAGGCCTTTAGTGAACCTGTTCTCCTTGTGTCATATTGTGTCATATCATATTTTATTCTTGTTTGGTCTTAACAGATGATGAATTCAGAATTCAATTCTGCTTCTTCCAGATAATTCAGCACTCCAAAGATAAGCTCTTTGTGTACAATACATATTGACAAACAGAAATGTGTTATACTGATTAGCAGTTTCAAGCAGTTGTCAGTATTAATCATTCTCTGCATCTGTTGCTGAAAGATGACCTTGGCCTAAGTTATCCTTTCAAATTTTCATTTTTGCTGGTGAAATTCAAATTGTACTGAGCAACAGAAAGTTATTTTTCCCATTATCTTTTTTAGTGATGTGAAATAAAATATCATTTCCTAAATTAACAACAAATACCACTGCTGGTTTGCCAAGTGGCCAGGACATCTTGTTTTCACAATATTATGTATAGATTTATGATACTCTGTTTTCCAGACTGCAGCAGTCTGTATTCATTGAATCTTACCAAATTTTTCTTTCACTTGCCATTGAGCTGTAGGTCTCAGATATGAAGCCTTTAGTTTTCATTCTATTACTTTCATCTCTTGGATCAGGGTTCAATAAACCAGGGCAAACTCTAGGCCCTGCATTTGTTTTTTAAATAAAGTTTTCTAGAAAGAAATACCCATTAATTTGCTATTGTCTATGGCTGATGTTACTACACAAAGCTAGAGTTGAATAGATGCAACAAAATCTTCTAAATCTTCTAAAATATTTATTATGTAGACCTTACCAGAAAAATAAAAACTGTTAAGACTTTCAATAGATCACTAATCTTGCCAGAGAACTTTATTATCTTATTTTCTAAATGTTCAGGATTTGTGCTGTTCTATATTATGATCTGATGTAATTAATTTGTCTTCCAGTATCCAATTTGCTTTTGAGAAATATGATGCCTTTCTGATTTTTGGTTGTTGTCTGACCACTCTCATTTCAATTTCTGTCTTCATCCCCCAACCCCTAAGTCCTCTAGTTTTCTCTCTCTCTCTCTCTCTCTCTCACACACACACACACACTTTTCTCTTTGTCAAAACATTATGGACAATCTCTTTTATTCCCCCAATTTTATTGTTCCCCATTTAACGCTTTCTTGACTTTCAAATTAAGTTTCTGTCTTATGTACAACACTCCTGCATAGAGTGTGGGGGCTGTGCTTCGCTCAAAGTTGCCAAGCAGAAGGTACAAGCAGAAAAACGGATGCTATGTCACCACTCATGGACTCATTACCATGGCAAAAAATTTGCTTCTGCTCAGAGGAAAGAAAGCTCTCACTCAAAGTTGCAGTGAAACTAATGACATTTCCAGTTAAGCTATAGCTACCTTTTTCTTTGGGAAAAGCCCACTCACTTACAGGAAACAGTCTCATTTTTGAATTTCTCCTCTCTCCCATACTATACCCATTGTTCTGTAGTCTCTTAGGAAATCTGGCTTTAATCAGGCTTGTCAACAGTTTATGGATGTCCAATCTCCAAGACCATGGTCATATAAGAAACCACAAATCTATGATTTTGGGGAAATACAGACCTTCCAATTTGAGTTTAATTTTCAGTTTTAATCTTCCTACCCCTGAGAACTGAAACCTTGTTTTGATTTATTTTCTACTATCTTTCAAAGGTATTTCTTTTTCTAGAAGGAAATGTAATATAAATCTATGTGACACTTAGAGTCCTTTATTTGTTAGCAAATCTCATGCTCTGCCCTTACCAACATCTTCTGAATCAGAGTCACCCTCAGATAGAAATTTGAAGTTTTACAATTTTTCCTCCACCACCCACAGTTATACACACATTGAGGAAAATGGTGTGTTAAAGGCTATGAGATCAAATATGTTTGCTTTCTTGCTCTATCATGTACTAGATCATATCAAAGATTTCTTTCATCTATGGATTGAAAAATAACTATATGATCATACAGTGTAGAGATAATCTATGTAAAAGACACCTAGTAAGTAGTAATTGATAAAAACTATGGTTAATAGTAGTAGAATTACATTTGGTTGAATGCCTTTTGACAGCCTGACAAAATGAAGGTGGGTAAAATATTTAAACTTCAATTTGAAATGTTAGGAATCTATACACCCCACCCCCCCCACAGAGAGAGAGAGAGAGAGAGAGAGCACTTTAGAAAGAGAGTTGAGTAAAAGCTAGTGTACAAGCAGAGTGTCTGGCACATACAAGGAACTGGATCCATGAATCTAAGTACTAATCTACATCTCTCTTTAGGGACCTTCAAACTAAGACTAAACTGACTATCATACTAGTGACTATCACTTGATAAACTGGATATTAATGAAGAGTTGTCATCGTCAAAGGTTCTTGGAAGAAGAAGACTAGCAGCTTTGAAATTGTGGTTTGGATATCAATGTGACTATTGCTCCATTGCACGATTTGTAGAAATGGGACAATGAGCAAGTATGCTACAAGGATAGGAAAGGGAGGTGTGAGAAAAGCATAGAGCAAATGGGAGAACGTGAGAGTGTTGCCTATCCAGCATTTTAAGGGAGATGGGAGAAGAAATGGGGAAAACAATTTTTTGAATTTTACAAATATCAACTTAGATGATTTCTAACATATTTCTAGACTTGGCTAAAACAAGAGAGCTTTCTTAAATGAAGTTGTTATACAGAATTCCTGCTAACCTCTCTTTAGTCTGAAAAGGGTTTTGGTGTTCATACCATTTTAAATTGCTTGTCTTGTCTTTGTTTAACTCTATAGCAGTAAGTATGCCTATGATGGAAATTAATGGATGTTTAAAAACTAATCCCCATCCCTTTCATGAGTTAGCCATTTTCTGCTTATTAAAGACTGCTTTTAACCTACTATTTAGAAAAAGTTACTCCTTCAGTTGACAATACATAAATCCATAAAGGAAATATGCAACCAACTAATCCATATCTACTTTTGTTAACAGGTCCCCAAAAAGGCAAAGATGTCCAACCACAGTTAATTAGACCAGTTTGCAATTTATTTTGCTTCTGGTCTAAGAAATACAAAAGATTGTGCTGGTGTGGAGTTCAGCATGACAGTGAGAAAGAGCATGTGAGTTGATATTTGAGTTTCTAAAAATATGTATTGGTTCAAGGGATTCCAGTTTTGCCCATTTAATCCAGTTGTAAGGGTGGATCTTGGGAGGGGAAGTGATGAATGTTAGAACCTGAAAAAACTGGATTTTAACTTCAGAGTTACTTTAGCTGATTATCTCTGAAGCACATAAATGCATTGATTTATAAGTATGTCTTTGACCTGAATTGTTGCCATTACAAGTGTTCAATTTCCAAAATTCCTTTTAACTCCCATGAGGGTGAATTCTAGGAAAATTATAAAAAGTAAACAATAGAAAAGGAATCAAATAGAGGCACAGTATCATGCGATGGTTAAAAGCATGGGCGTTAGACACAGCCCTCTGTTAAATCCCAGTTCCAGGTTTTACAAAGTTATTTAGTGTCTGTGCACTAAACTTGGATTGGGGGAAGGGGTGGAGATTAAGCAGAAAGACACAGGCAAGCACATCTCTAGCTCCCTGGGGTTTAAATACAAAGTAAGATTTATTGGGAAGAGGGGTAATAGTTGGAGAGGCGAAAGGTGGACATAAATTTCTTAGCCTCTTTATTCCATTAAAAAGTGTGTTCAGATCAGGTAGGGTGAGGGACACTATCCAAATACTATTAAAGTCTCATCAGCAAAAGACTACCAAGGACATCCTCTGGTCAGACATGATGTAACTTACTGTTTTAATTTAGAAAATCTAGATGCTCCAGAGGAACTAAGGGATATCACTCTCACAGAGAGAGTAGATGGGGATGGGATACCTATGGTAAGGGTTGAGTTCTCATGAAATGACTCAAAGGAAAGTTGTAAATGAAAATTAAGCTACATGGTGCAACATTGGTAAGAGTGTAGTAAGCACTGTAAGAATTATTATGGCATTTGGTGAATGCAGGACTCTTGGAAGAAGCAAGTCTTCCTGTTAAGTCTGCAGCTGGTCTTACTAATGTCTGATTTCCCAGCTTGATTAACAGCAGGGTGATTGTTTTTTTACTTTTATTTCAAGATTAATATGACTTTTGCAACCATAGACAGCTTACCTTTTTAGGGCTCTAACAGAAGTACTCCTATCCTATCACATTAGATATTTCTGAGTTGTCAGTTGCTCTCCATCTCAGAAAAACATCACAATAACATGCATAAGAGGTCTTCTGAAAGCTCACAGGAAATGGATACGATGAAAAACTATGCAAGAACTTCAACTTTCTGTACCTAAAGAGACATATCCTTATTTCTATTTTCCATGAATTTTTTGAAGTCAACTTGTATGTGATATACAGCTGTCCTTAATACCTACCACATTCCAGGAGATTGCCATTTTGGAAGGAGTTCAGAATACAGGGGTTAGGTACAGATATTTATTCAGTTCTGGACTCAAGTGATTCAAGGGAGAAACTGAGGAGAATTATGACATGAGTTTAGAATTAGTGAAGCAAAAATAAATAAATAAATAAATAAATAAATAAATAAAATTGAAGAAAGCATCTGGGTGAGGGTCCTGAAGTCAGTCTTGGCTAGAAGCAATGATTGAAGGAAGTTGCCTCATGGAGCAACCTACCATTCTGAGAAGGGAGAAGTTTACCCAGATGAGCGATTTGCTTTACTGGGGAGACAGCTGGCTGAGCAGTCTATTGTTTGTACAAATGCATTTTGAGGAAGTTCTAGACACAACAAATTAAGTTATTTACTGGTTTACAGACTTATCTCCCTGGGCAGAATTTCCTGGAATAAATAATAGGCTCTGTTGATGGAGGCAAATTCTGTTCTCAAAGCTGAGATGAGAGTAGGAGTGAACAGTGTGTCAGTATTGGACACATTTAACAAAAAATAATGTTGAGCAGCCTCTAGGGGAGTTTGCTCTTCTATTAGCAAGAGCTGTTGTGGTTCAGAGTTAAGAAGGGGACCACCACATCTGAGATGAAGGATTATCTCTCACAATGCAATAATAATGCCACCTCAAAGGATCACCATAGAAACCTCTTCATCCAACACAAGAAATACTGCAAATGCTCATTAAGTTATTATTTTTTATTGTTGTCTTATTTAGATTTAGGATGTACATGGATTAGCAAAGTTTTCAATTAGGAAGCATCTTTGGTCAGAGTTGTTTGTAATGTCTATTTATATCATTGTTTGAAAGGGGAGCCTAAGGAAGTTTCAGGATGCAGAGGAATCCAGCAAAACTGTATTATAAATACGTGTCTTCCCATTTTCCTCAGGAAAACCTTGACAGTGGCAGTGACTGGAAACAAGGGACTGAATCTGCTTTACAGAATGGACTTCGTGGAGAAAGCTTGGCTCATGTCCCAGGCTATGATCCGAAGAACAAAAGCTACAACAATATGGCATTTGAGAAAGTTACCCATTTTTAGGGAAATGCATGTGAGCACAGAGATGCACACACACACACACACAAACGATTTTTACTTATTTCTTGCCTACCTGTTAGTAAACTTGTGAAGTAATCATTGATAAAAAGAAAGAGGTGTCTGATGTTTATTTATACTTATTTATAACTGCAAGTAAAATGACTGTTCTTTAGGATATTGTTTGGAAGACCCCAACATCCAGATTAAACAACAAGGTACTAAGGAAGCTGGCAATTTCCTTCTTTAATAAATTCAGACTCAAGTATCACAGTGCAAGAAATGAGTCTGTTTATTTCATGTCTTCATGGTTTTTTTTTTTTGATAATATTTAAACTACCCAAACATCTTAGAGTTTAAAAGTAGAATAGGGAAAGGAAATCTGTGTGTTAAATGCTTCCCTGTCACTGTTGATGAAACCGGGGAATGGCCTCCACTCTCAACTTCATACCTCCTTTGTATTTGGGAATATTTCACTCCCCTACCCCAACCTACAGCTGCAGTTGGAACAATTAATTGTTATTAAACTCTCCTACTTCCACCTTATGTCCTCTTTCAGTCATTTCTGCTTCTTGAAACGTTGGATCAAACTTTAAAAATAATACTGCTAAGTACAGGATGAAAGAGTAGGGCTGGTTAGCGGAAGCAGCTAAAAGCTCTGCTCCCATTGCATGTCAATGTAGTATTTTTATTATTTTATTTATTTGATAGAGTTACAGGTAGATGTGGAGACAGAGAGAAAGGTCTTCCATCTGTTGGTTCACTCCCCAGTTGGCTGCAACAGCCGGAGCTGCGCCAATTCGAAGACAGAAGCCAGTAACTTCTTCTGGGTCTCCCATGAGGGTGCAGGGGCCCAAAGACTTAGGCCATCTTCTACTGCTATCCCAGGCCATAGCAGAGAGCTGGCTCAGAAGAGGAGCGGCCAGGACTAGAACCAGCACCCATATGGGATGCCAGCACTTCAGGCCAGGGCTTTAACCTGCTATGCCACAGCACTGGTCCCAATCTAGTATTTCTTCTTCTTTTCTATCACCTAAAATGCTCCACAAGAAGGCTTGAGTCTTTCTCCAGGGCTGGATAAAGTGGAAAGCAATGTCTTATAAAAAGATGTTAGGCTACGGGCTGGTGTTGTGGGCATAGCAGCTAAAGTCACCACCTGCAATCCCATTATCCCATGTGGCTGCTTGTTTGTGTCCTGGCTGCTCTACTTTTGATCAAGTACCCTGCTAATGGCCTGGGAAAAGCATTAGAAGACCACCCAAATTCTTGGGCTCCTGTAACTCACATGGGGGACCTGAAAGAAGCCCCCGGCTCCTGACTTTGGCCTGGCCTAACACTAGCCATTTCTGCCATGTGGGGAGTAAATTAGCTGTCTCTCTATCTTTCTCTCTCTGTAACTCTGACTTCCAAATAAATAATTTTTTTTTGTTTTAAAAACGAAAGATGTTAGGATAGCCTTATGTGAAAAAGCTTGCAAATGGTTTATGAGACCCAAAGACATTTTATTAGCCATAGTCTTCTTTGGTTTAAAACATGTTGTCCATGGGGCTTATATACTCCACTCATTCAGGTCACACATGTAAACTCAACACAATTAAGCTAAGATAATAAATACAAAAAATCTCAATAGCTGAACTCAAGATAAATTTTAAAGTTCTGGAGCAACAGGGTGTTACAAACAAAAGGTGGGTTGATGAATGAAGGAGAAGATTTTTGCAAAAAGCATACAAATATATTATTTAAAGAAAAAAAAAGATTAGTGCCTCTATGACCAAATGAAGAAAAATAATAGGATACAAATCAATGTCTTACAGTCAGTAGCACAGATGTCAGATATTTATTTTGATGGCCCAGTAACTGCAAGGGCCTAAAAATGGCAATGAAGTGGGCAGGCATACAGGTTAAAATCAATTAGGTTTGTGAGCTGGACGACCACGCCTTCGCCACACACCTGTGTGTCCTCATCCCCCTACCTGGCCAGCCAATCAGGTTAATTGACCACTTCCCTTTGGAAATGGGTTAAAAGGCTGGGGCACAGTGTGTCCGGGTCTCCTCTTTTTCCCTGGCCTCTTGCTAGGAAGGGGCTTGCTGTAGCCCTGCGCCTCCAGGGCGGATGGCCTTCCGGCCATGTGCTCTATGCTTCCTGGCCTAGATGCTCATCCACATGGCTGGTTCCTGGTGCTTGGTATGAACCCCTATTCACCTCTATCCCCTAAATAAAGCTCTCACTCTCCTATGCATCATTCTCACTAAATAAAAGCTTAAAATGTGCCATGCTGCCTCGTTTATCTGTGCCGGTATTTAGAATTCTTCTCTAAATATTAGGCAAGAACCCTCTTGGGTTTATTAATATAGGGGATATAGTAATAAGCACGTGGAGAAATCATAAGGCACCCCAAGTTCCGGTAGCGCATGTGGCACCCCAGATAGCATTTCTAGGGAAGTTTAAGGGACCACATTTCAGTGTGAATTTTAGGGGGTCTTGTCCGATTTCAGCATGTCAAGTAAGAAGAAATGGTCCAATTGGGCAAAGATAAACAACCTCCAAGGCTATCATGTTAAATGTTACCTAGGAGTAAAGAGTCTTAAGAAACACAGGATAGAGATACTAATATTTATTATTAGAAATAGAAGAGAGAAGGAATGGAATGTACAGATTAAAACAACATGCTAGAGTTTATAAACCCAAGCCTGGGACTTGCCTTCCCTTTCTCCCCTTTCAAATGGAGAAGATAAAGAAAGAATTGGGCTATTGTTTATAGAATAGATGAGAAAAAAATAATATTTGGATAATTGGAATAAAATAAAAAGAATATTTTGAGGGGCAGGTGCTGTGGCGTAGGGGGTAAAGCCATCTCCTGCAGTGCTGGCCTCCTGTACAGGTGCTGGTTCATGTCCCTGCTGCTCCACTTCTGATCCAGCTCTCTGCTATGGTTTGGGAAAGCAGTGGAAGATGGGCCAAGCACTTGGGCCCCTGCACCCACATGGGATACCTGGAAGAAGCTCCTGGCTCCTGTTTTTGGATTGGCGCAGCTCCGGCCATTGCAGCCAATTGGGGAGTGAACCAGCGGATGGAAAGACCACCCCCCCACCGCCCGCGTCTCCTCTCTCTGTGTAACTTTTTCTCTGACTTTCAAATAAATAAAAAATTTTTTTTAAAAAATAATATTTTGAGGGAAATAGCTGAAAATGAGAAGTAGAATTTCTGCAAACATTTTCTGATATCCATCAAGGTTAATAAAGCTGTTGGTCTAAGGATTCACAATTTGGGAGGTGAAATTGTTTTCTCAGTAATTTAGTAGTTAGGGCACTATATTTACATGTGTATGTATTATACTTACAGATATATAGAAGAATTAATGAGAAAATATATTGATATCTGGTACAAACCTAACTGGCATAGTTAGTAACTAATGATGGGGAATGAAAAACAAAACACAATGAGAATTAGCAGAAAGCATTATATGTGTGTGTGTGTGTGTGCATGGGATTAAAATAGGAAATTAGTAGCAATCATAATTATGTGACTTTTTGCCTTTCTCTAACTGTGTCACCTTATCCATTTATTTTTTTTTTTTTTGACAGGCAGAGTTAGAGAGACAGAGAGAAAGGTCTTCCTTCTATTGGTTCACTCCCCAAATGTCTGCTACGGCCAGAACTATGCCGATCCGAAGCAAGGAGCTAGGTGCTTCCTCCTGGTCTCCCATGCAGGTGCAGGGCCCAAGCACTTGGGCCATCCTCCACTGCCTTCCCAGGCCACAGCAGAGAGCTGGACTGGAAAAGGAGCAACCGGGACAGAATCCGGGGTGCTGGCACCACAGGCAGAAGATTAGCCCAGTGAGCCGCGGCGCCGGCCCACCTTATCAGTTTGAATGTGAAACATAAGATAAAACAAGAAGTTGGAATGAAAAGAAATCACTTTAAGCTTATGTGTAAATGTAGTGTACGTCACACACATATATGATTTGAAATACATTCCAACATTGTGAACTTTCAGTTGGAATTGCACAAAAACAAAATACCATATGGTTTCCCATTTTACTCACATATAGTCCTGAGGACATCTCATAGAATCATAACTTTTTCTGAAAAGGATTATTTAGGATCTTAATTCTACTAGGAGTGTTACTAAAGGCATAAAATGTCATACAAATGGAAGATATTGTTATTTCTATTATAATATTCTTAACACAAAAAAAGCTTAGCCTTCTCTTGCATATTGGAATCAATTAGAGTAAAAGAGAACATTTCAAGAGTTTTTAGAGGTTGTTAGAAAGATTCCCTTCTCAGTCTTCCCAATAGAACACACATGCAAAAAATGAAGGCTATGGGTAGAGAAAAATCCACAGAAAGCCATCTTTCACAGCAATATTTATTGTGTAGTGATGTAGAAGGAAACTAAGAAGTGCACAGTCAATAGATTTTATTAACAGCATTCCTCACCTACCTTCGCTTTTCCCTAGGAATTTCACCTCAGAGCTGTATCAAGACCATCAGTGTTAAGCCCCATCCAGTGCCAAGATCAATTCATGCCATGGTAATGGATTAAATGTGTGGATAGTTTTGCCATACAGTGCCTAGGGAATTTCTCAACAAATGGTGCTATGAACTCCTAGAATAGTCCCAGGTGTGTGAAACTCAGGGCCAGTCTCCATACCCTTCAAACTCAATCACAGATACTGCTAAGAATTGAACAGTGTTACCTCAATGCTTCACTTACTCATTTTGAATGAAACTATTTTGATGATTGTCTTATATTTATCAACCATTTAGAGCAAAAGTACAGCTTATTGATTGCAGTGGGTATGGGGGTCAAATGGCTTAGCTTCAAATACAAGTTCTGACAGAAATTATCTCAGAAATTTGGGGCAAGACTTTGAAGCGTTAGTTTATTCACCAGTCAAAAGATGCTCCTATGTCACAGGGTTATTGTGAGGAGCTGAAGTCATATAAAGTACTCAGAGCAGTGCCCAGCCCACATAGACTATTTCAAGCTCAATACTGAATGAATATGTGGAGTATAGGAAGGAAATGATGTTCATCTTACTTGAAATTGTTTTATTGTTTCTCTAAAGGATTTTCAACACATTGGCTTAGAACATGGATTATTGGTGTATGTTGAGGATTAGAAAAATAAGATAAATATAATATCTGAGTCAAAGGTCATACTATTTCCAAGCAGTAGTATGTTTAATGCCTGTGTTAATTCAACATTATTTTCCAGAGAATGACTTTTTTTCATGATCCTCATTTGTTGAAATAAAAAGAAAACTACTATTGTAAAGATAAATAAGTTTATTACTGAAAAATGCAATATTCATATTTGTGATTTATTATTACATTTGTACATGTAAACCTTGATAAGTAAACAGCATCCCAAGTTTATTACTCAATGCACAGTTCAAAGCAACTGTGATTGAATAACAACAGAAGTGGAGGGGCTTTCCCTTTGCTTAATTCAAATAATACTTGCTCTGTATGAGTTTTATTATCTGTTGACTTTATATAACTACACTATTTCATTCTAAAGAGAAAAAACATAAGCCACATGCCAGGAGATTTTCAAGCATCATTTCAAAGTATATTTTTGAAATATTTTATGGTATTACAATGCTAATCAAATGTTATTACAAAGATCAGAAATAGAAAAAATAGAGGAATCTCCTTTTAATTATCCCCTTAGAAATAAATTATTTTAACATTTGACAGAAGCTTTCGCTGTAGATATGAATATATATGTATATATATTCAGAAATCTCATGTGCTTAATCTCAATATTGCAAAGTAGCTAGTTTTATTGTAAAGGTACCCACTTTTATCAAGGTTAACCTTGAAGCATAACCCATTTTTCAAGCAACTAAAATTTATCTGATATGGCCAATTGTACATATTAACATGATACAAAAATTCAAATTTATCAATTGTAACTGATAAGCAATAGTAAATCACATAATGGGTTCTTTTTATTTGTAAATCTTGGAAAGAGCCACCACTGTTATTTCTTCTCCCATTTCAATCCCCCAAGGAAATCAGTGTTGATTTTTAAACACTTTTGTGAATAACAAACACTCCTAAGCCAACTTTCAAATACTGTACTTTTCGTGTAGGAAATACCATCTTCAGAAGACAAAGACTTAATCTTATAAATATTTCACAACATGACCTTTACTTGACTTCCAGGCTGTCATCAAAAACTAGAAAAACAATCTTCCATATGGAGGAAAATATTCATTTACAACATCTCTGTATATCAGTAGGAAATTTTGTAAGATGTTTGTCTCCTTCCAAAATTTTATTTTTTAAATTTTAGAATAGTGGATTATAAGGGTCCTATAAAAAGCTTATGAAAATATGGTTTTGAAAAAAACCATGCATGGATTTCAAAAATTTTTGCACCAAAATAAACTTATCTTTTAATTCCGTTTTCAACAAATTTCTGAAGTCCCTTTGTATTTCTAATTTTAAAATTATGTTTATTCAACTAGTTAATTTTAAGAAAAAATGTGGAATAAAAATAGATATATGATTATTTCAATCAGTTGTTTCAAAGTTAAATTATGATTAAAGTGCACTGAAATGATCAATATGAATAGTTTCCACAGGATTAGCCGTGAGATGCATTGTAATCACCTACACTAAAATATTTTTGTAAACCATAATGGTTAAGGCAGTTCTACCAGGTAAACACACAAATATATGTTTAAATAAGGTTTGCCACACTATAGATCATGACTTCCTTTTCAGTGTTTTGAGTAATGTTTGTTATACTTTGTATACCCAGTGCTTAGACCACATAATTCTCTCTCTCTCTCTCTCTCTCTCTCTCACACACACACACACACACACATAAACACACACAGAAAGAAGCATCAAGAAAAATCTGTAAATTAATAAAATAAGAACTATTAATCAAGAAAAAAAGTATCTAATGCTGTTATCTTTTATGGAATTTGACCTTTGTTCCCAGGAGTTTCCAGAAATCACAATTCATTTGTGTTTTAAGATGTTAAAGTAAGTATATACACAGTCATTCAGAATGCCTAGTCCTCATTACAGAATCTCCATTAGACACATAAAAAAACTAAAAAGAGTTTCATGTAGTATATTTATGTAATGTCCTAATATAACTGCCATGTAAGAAAATAAGTCAGCAATCCCCAAATGACTTAACTGTAGGATTATAATATAGTTAGACTGAACTTACAGACAATTAAGCAATTAGGTAATGTTACTGAATGATTTGAAAGATGGACTATAAATGTTTCTGTATCTTTTCTAGATACTACTTTCAAGAATGTTGACCTGTAGGCATGATCTCAAAAACTGATCAGACTATCTCAAGTGAGCACAGCTTCCTTAAATTGGCTTTACTTTTTGGTGACAGCTTGGAAGGACTGCTTAATGATTAACAATATATACTGTATATTTTAAATATTTTCATGTAAATCATAGAGAGTAAAAAAAATGTTTATAATTATCTGACTAAATATATGTTTGCAACTTAATGTGTTTGCTGAAAGCCAAAATGTTTGTGCTTTGTCTCCTCTATCCATGTGCACATTCCCTTGACAATTCCAGAACCCTAATATCACTTTGCTATTTTAAAAATACAATAATCAGGCCAGTGGACACACAACCTTGAAAGAAAAATTGCATAAATTTTTAAGGGCATTCTCACCTACAACACTGAAAATAAGATGCCATCAGAATCTAAAATTAATATAGATAAGGGTAAAAAAAAGAAGACATAAAAATAAGAAAAAGAGGGAAAAAAGTCCTTCTTTCTGTTGAGTGCCATTTCCAAAACATTGCTTCTATATTTATTTAACTTTGTTGTCAGAATTTTCAAGCCATTAAAATACTTTCTTTTCACTTAGACAAATGAATCAAGAAAAGTATACTGGAAAACAATCATTGGGAAAAATTGATTCATAGTGCTTGTCAGAAAAGATATTATGTTTCCCTGAAAGAATTCATCTGGTGGCATTGAGTTGTGTGGACACTGGCAACATAATTAAAATGATACTGAGGCAGCTTGAGTATTATGTGGGACTAGCTGCCCACATAACAATATTTGTGTGTATGTGTGTGTGTGTGTGTGTGTGTGTATGATTTAAACAGGTCTGCTTAACTTCTGTTTTCAACAAATAATTTAGGATATTTTGCTTTCTGGAAAACAAGGAGAGCAGACATTGTCTTTTTTTTCCCCACAGGGAATTAAAATGAGAAAAAAAAAAAGGTGTTGAGGAAGTCAGTGCATGCTTAGTCTTGAAAACTCTCAACTTCTTCCTTCTTAGGGAAATGTGTAAAACAACATCCAGACAGTTGACTGTCTGGTGCAATGTAGAATCCTACTTGGGACCAGTTGAGTCTGGAACAGGAGGCCTTCCCTAGGGAGTATTATACTGGCACAGTCATAAAGCAGTATGACTGTATCTATAAATTTCCATTGACAGTACCAGAGATTGAATTTGATGCCAATTATGAGACTCTTGTCTGTCAGCTGTCGGCTTTCATTTTGCGTTCCTGATAAAGACTCCACCATGTAGAATGCTGCTAGGAGGCAGGGGCTGTATCTTACATTTTTCTAGAAAGCAAGCCATCAAATGTGGTCTTGAGTATGGTTTTTCATATGGACCCAGATGGAAAGTTCATTTGAAGACAACTTGTCTCCACTACAAAGACATAAGTTCTAGTTAGCAGGCATCTGGATTGATCAATGATTCAAGCAAACTTCATTTCAGGTAGAAATGCCTGCAGCAAAATGCTTACTTTTCCATCAGAAACTAAGTTTTCCGTGCTATTCCTAAAAGGCTCTCTTCTGAGCTCTTAAGGATACCAGGAATGAGACAAGATGCTAATTGATTCACTGAATAAAACTAAAACTATCCCTGGAGCCCATTACAATACTATGATAGGGGTGGGAGTGTGCAGAAGAAATATCTGATGACCACAAAAGGACTGAATTACACATGTCTTAAACAGACCTCGTACTCACTGACTCTTTCACAAAGAGTATGACAATAATGTGAGTTCAAGTGCACACACACAGATATACACACACACAAACATATCCTGGACCTATGTTTACCAGTCAGTTGACTGACTGGCTAGTAATATAGTCATATCAACTAAGTAACTCTGCAGACAACATGAATTTTCAATTTTGACCATCAAATTAAAAAATGGAGAAATCGGTAGCATATTATTGACAGCTGGCTACAGTGCCCCGCATGTCCTCCCCCTTGGCATATACTTTAATGTACAGAAAAATTCCTTTTCCAAGCAGGTTTTCATGGTAATTATGGAACCGGTATACATGCAAAAAAGAGCTGTCTGATAGAAATATTATTACCCTCTCATATCTTGTAGCAGAAATCACGATTAGGATGAGTGTGGTATTCCATTTGCATGGTAACATGCAAATGGCTTGATGATAATAATGCTATTATCTGAAGAATAGTCAAAACTTTTCAAGAGTGGGATAAAAGCTTTTAAGAATAAGAAATTATTTCCCCATAGACCTAAAGAATGAGCAATGCCCCTCCCCATACATACTTCAGAAATCTCAATTTAACATTTATAAAAGAAGAATAATTAAAGTTAACATGCAAATTATAGGAAAAATACCATATTGAAGGATAATTTATTGAGTTAAAAAGTTTTCTATTTATTTCATTGTACAATAGATTGTGCTAAGAGCAGTTTTGGAAGAATGTGCAGCATTTAGAAGTGGTATCATGCAGTCATTCAGCAGCATTTTCTCTGAAAGTGCGTGCAAAGACTAAAACAATTTCAAACTGTTTCAGCTACATTCTAGAGCAGTTTCCCACACACTGTACTGTGCAAGCTCTTCAGCTTTGAATAACTTGTCAAGGCAGTCTGCATGCACATATATATTAGTCATTTGCTTGAAAAGACAAGCTAGAATAGAAAATATATAAGCAGCATTCATGTAATCCAGAGTTCCTGAGAAAATAGTGTGTGCTATAAATCCTTGAGAAATAATTTGCATTCATATGAAATTCATGTTATAAAATATTTCTCTAACCTAAAGCAGAGTGATCTGAAACTAAGATATTATGAAGGTCTATCAATATTTAACTGTCAATGATGAAGGCATAGCTAACTTCTACTGCAATTCTTTACAAAAGAAACATGTCAGGTAATGTTTTATTTCTCTATTTTTCACATCTGTTTCAAGAATAGCAGAGAAAGCATTTTCTAAATCAATATATAACCTTTCATAAAATATCTTTCTCTTTTTCCTAAGAATCAAAATTATTTTAAACCATGATGGAACAATGTAAGAACTTGGAAAGAGAGGAGTTTTCAGGACACAGTTACCATTATTATTATTATTAGCTCTACTATAAGACAAATATCTCTGCTTTGTGTACCCAATTAAATCTCTCTTGTGTGGCTAGTGGTATTAATTGCTAGAGTCTGAGGGAGAAGTTGCATTTAGCAGGGGTTTGGGAGGCCTGTTTAGGGTCTCAGACTCTTCCCTTTCCTCTGAAACACTGGGCAAACAGAGAAGTGAGTATTCTTGACCAAAGAAACAATGAAGCAACTATAATCTATTCAGCTTTTGAATTATAAAAGTTTCCTAGCAAAATAAATTCTATAACTTTCTTACTAGGAAATATTCACATGTATACAAAGTCACGTTAGTTCTACTATGTTTAATCTGATATTTTAAAATTTGTAAATAACTCTACTTTGCCTCACTGGGCATAAAACAATAATTATGTATATGTACACATATACATATGTATGCATATGCATATGTATACATATATATACATACATAAAACATGTGTGAGTGTATCTGATTCCTTCAATTCTAAGGGCAGAAAAACTTAGATTTCCTTGTTTTACAAGAAAACTTGTATTTAATTCTACAACATTTTCTCTCCCTTCAGCTCAGCTTATGCCTCCTCTCAACTTTCTTTAGTTGAATACCCACATTGTTCCTGCTTCATCAGGATGTTGATAAGGAAAAGGGAATTCTATAGCAAAGCACGATTATATCTTCCACAATTAATTTGACTTCCTTTTTATAGAATTCTTAAATAAACCAAATCAATCTGTCAAAGAAATCACAACAGAAAACTTCCTTCAGTGATGAAAAAGTAAAATTCAAAAATGTATTATCTTACAAACAATATAAATTCACATTCGTGCATTATTTTCATTAGCTCATGAATCAGAGTGCACATTATTGTGAAAGCATAAGTGCTGCTGAGCATTTTGCTTCAGCTTTCCTGAATAGAGATATAACAGTAGTATACAGACTAATTGGTCTCAGAGCTGTAGGAACTGTAACTTGCATTATATACTGTCAAGGAAAACCAATATATTTACAGCATTTCAAGGTAACATTCTGTGACAGCTGTAACAAATTACAGCATGAAAAATTAAAGATATTCAAGATAGACTTCTTTAGTAGAGTATAAATAGTTGTGTTCTAAATAATACAAGACTAACCATTCATGTTGTAAAAATCTGTGACTGTATTGGCATTTAGTACAAAAAATTGTGCAGTGCAACTGGTTCTGCCAGTGATTAAACAGACTTGAATGAAGCCAATGCAATTAAAATTATGTCAGTGAATGATATTCTTTTTGGAATCTTAGTTTTTGGTTTGACTACTAAAGGTGATATGCAAATTTTCAACTGCATAGTGAACATAGAGCAGCATAATTGTGCTATGGCACAGATACAAATCTCAGCAACAGACAGGGGCAATTCTTACCAACCTGTAAGCTGAAAGGAAAGGGAGTTTTGGCAGCAAAGGCAAAAATTGATTTAGGTCATTACCTGTAAGCATCTCAACTCAACAGGAGGTTCTACAGTCAGATCAGCATGTGAATGAAGACCACATGATACTTTATTTCATGCTTGGTTTGTGGACATTTACATGGAAATCTGTCTCTAGAAACCTTACCATCACCCTTCCAAGTCTAATGCCGCTAATGGAAAGCAGGGATCTACAAACACATGACTCTTGTTCTGAGAGTTAGATCCAAGCTTCATGAAATGTAAATCTAACCCTCTTCTGGGTTCATGATCATCTTTTTTCTGTTCTAGAAGCTTGAATATTCCCAACCCCAGAACTGGCTGTGACACATTTCCAAGTAGCACATTATAATATGGTTTGCCAGGTGTGCCATCCTCCTAGATCCCACCTAGAATTTGAAGTCATAAACATTCCTTCACATTAATGGTATCACTTCCCCTCAGTAACAGGTATCAACTAAGGCCATTCATGGTGAACAGGCTGACCACTTTTTCTCCGTTCTTGTTGCAAATGCTCCAGTTCAGCCTCATACATCATCTCTTGGACTAAGTACTTCTCTCGTCGTATTCGTTCACGGAGGCCCTTTGGTACATCTGGAATCAGGTATGCGATGAATGACTTAATTCCAAAAACAAGGTGCTGCAAATTTAAGGTGGAAAGTACAATTTTCAAAGTGTCCAAAATGCTAATTAATTAAGACAAAACAATCATGGACAATGTTACATGTGCCTTAAAAACCAACCATCAGAACTTCATATGTGCCATATAGAATACTAGCACTAAAAAATTATATTGGAGGGGCCAACGCTGTGGCACAGAGGGTTAACGCCCTGGCCTGAAGCACTGGCATCCCATATGGACACCGTTCAAGACCCAGCTGCTCCACTTCCGATCTGGCTCTCTGCTATGGCCTGGGAAAACAGTAGAAGATGGCCCAAGTCTTTGGGCACCTGCACCTGCGCGTGAGACCAGGAAGAAGCTCCTAGCTCCTGGCTTCAGATCGGAGCAGCTCCAGTCTTTGCAGCTAGTTGGGGAGTTGGGGAGTGAAGCATCAGATGGAAGACCTTTCTTTCTCTCTGCCTCTCCTCTCTCTATGTAACTCTGACTTTCAAATAAATAAATAAATCTTTAAAAAAATTATATTGGAAATACTACTGTCACCTTATATCACATAAATATTAGAAGAAAATAATTGTTTCCTCTTTCTGCTGAACAATGTTATACTTTATAAATGCCATATGAATAAATCATAAATGCACACATATAAAATTCTTACAAATTATGCGACATTTTTATGACATGTGTTTTCATACACAGATGAGAAAGATCACATCCAGGGAAAATTCATGTCCAATAGATCATAATACATACTATACAAACCACACAATATACAGCCTGCCTGTGATTCTGGATTAGCCTCAATGTGTAACACATGCAGTTTTCAGAATTTCTACTTTATTAAGGTCTTATATCATTTTAAGTGATTTAAAATGGTTTATCACATAATTCTTCCATGACAAAATATATTGCTTATATTTTAGAAAATAAGCTGGCAAAAGTATTAGATTAAAATATTGATGAGATGATGGTTGAGACCCTCTGAGTCCAATGGTATTCTGACATCCACTCACTGTGTTATCTTAGGTGAATTACTTGCATTCTGTGTTTCATTCCTAAAATGCTGGTAATAACAGTATTTCCTGAAGGTTAGTATGAGGAACACATGTATAAATACATACCAAGGGCTTGAAGGAGTGGTGGCACAGTGTAAGTACTGCTTAAATATCACTTTATCTTTTTATAAATGAATCCTTTTCTTTTCCTAAGTAGTTCTTTCAATTTATCACAAAGGAAAAAAAAATCTGATACTAATACAGGTAGAATGATTTGAGGAAAAGAACACATTTAATGTCCAGGACATTTAGATGATATTCTATGGGAGAGTTAAGAATATAGGGCCCTTTTCTCTGGATTTGCTATATTTTTTCCAAGAAGCTACATATCACAGTAAATCACAGAAGAGTAGGTAATATTTTCCCATTTAGAAAACATAATTAGGAGTTCCTTTTCTGACTAAATATTTGACATTCACAGAAATATCTATCAATGTGCCTGAGGAATATGGAAATAAAAATTTAAAGCACTTGTTTTAAATAGTAAAGAGGAACGTGTTCTATGTCTTATATAATAACAAAAAAAACCTATAAACTGATTTTTTAAAAGTTGATATTAAAAGATGGTTGAACATTAAATAACTTTTAAAAAATCATTTACTAATACTTAGTTCCCATTAATGAAGATAACCAGTAATAGGAAACTTTTCTTAAGCTTATAGAAATCATAAACATTTTTAAAACTAAAGAAAATATACTTGAGGAAAAAAAGGAACATTCCCATTAAACTTGGTGAAAAAATGTATGCTCACACCACTGCTGCCCACCATCATGCTGAAACTATGTTAATTAAAAATATTAGCAGGGCCGGCGCTGTGGCACAGCAGGTTAATGCCCTGGCCTGAAGCACCGGCATCCCATATTGGCGCCCGTTTGAGACCCAGCTGCTCCACTTCCAATTCAGCTCTCTGCTGTGGCCTGGGAAAGCAGTATAAGATGGCCCAAGTCCTTGGGCCCCTGCACCCACGTGGGAGACCCTTAAGAAGCTCCTGACTCCTGGATCCTGGCACCGGATCTGCACAGCTCTGGCTGTTGCAGCCAATTGGGGAATGAACCATCAGATGGAAAGCCTCTCTCTCTCTTTCTGCCTCTCCTCTCTCTGTGTAACTCTGACTTTCTAATAAATAAATAAATCTTTTAAAAAATTAGCCTTCTGGCATATCAGCAAAAATCAAATCACATAATGGAGGATAAAATATCACTCATTATAGCCACAAAAATATTTAAAAGTCTATATAAATTAAAATGAATTAGTAAGCAAAAGAATACTTTAAACACTATTATGTAATAATGATTTTAGTAAATCTCAGGTGTACTAATGAAATAGCACAGTTTTTATAAATAAGTAAAAATATTCTTATGACTTCTACAAAGGAAATGTCCACTGAAACTCTTTCATTGTATTTAAAGGAAACTGAAAGATAAATTCTGAAATGGAGATAAACTATTAATAAATCCAAGTTACTATAGTAATTTAGAAAAAAGTAGAATATATGTGTTGGGGGTTGGATGTGCTGTGCTTTATCAGGTAAAATACATTAAAATTTAATTTTTATTTATAAATTTATTTATTTGTTATGTTTTATTTTTACCTCCTAATAAAAATTAGTAGAAAAGAGACAAGGAAAATATATTTCTTATGTTCATAACTGGTGAAGGACTAATATGTAGAGTATATAAGTACATACCAACATTTGCCAACATGCTGGAAATGTAATAAAAAATGAGCCTTGGTTATATATTTACCAAAAAGAGGCTTTCTAGTACTGAAAGTGATGATCAATTTCATTGCAGAAGAAATTAAAACAAAAAGTTAAAGCCCAGATTACTTTCAGAGGATATCCAATTAGATGCACATTTGACTTATCAGAACCCTATAGGCTAGAAGAGAATGGCAGGATATGGTCCAAGTTTTAAAAGAAAAAAAAAAACTGTCAAACCAGGACACTGTATGCAGAAAAGCTCTTATTTATGAATAAAAGTGAAATAAAGATCTTCCACAACAAGTGGATATTGAATTTATCACCATTTGTCCAGGCTTACAAAAGATGCTTAAGGATGTACTATACACAGAAGCACAGAAAGATAGTCATTATTATGAAAAAATGTGAAGGCTGAAAAACTCTAGTAAAAGTACAAAATAAATACAAAGTAAATGACAGGAATATTTACAGAACAGTGGAAGGGCTATGTTCTTATCAATGATCACCTTGAATGCAAATGTCCTCAACTCTCCAGTTAAGAGATAGAGACTGGCTGAATGGATTAAAAAAGATGACCCATCTATTTGTTACCTACAAGAAACTCATCTCATCAACAAAAATACACAACACATTGAAAGTGAAAGGATGGAAAAAGATATCTCATGTTAACAGAAAGCAAAAAAGTTCAGGTGCTACCATCCTAATATCAGACAAAATAGACTTTAACGTAAACACTGTTAAAAGAGACAAAGAGGGCCACTATGTAATGATTAAGAGATCAACTCAACAGGAATATGTGACTATAATAAGTGTATATGCACCCAATTACAGGGCAGTGGCTATTTAAAAGAAATGTCAATGGATCTAAAGGGAAAGATAGACTACAGTACAACAGTAACAGGGGATTTCAACACCCCACTTTCATCAATGAACAGATCAACAGGACAGAAAAACAAAAAAAAAACAATGCAGCTAATCACAGTAATGGACCAAATGGACCTAACTGATAGCTACAGAACTTTTCACCCCACACTTGCAGAATACACATTTTACTCACAGGTGCATGGAACTTTCTCTAGGATAGATCATATGCTAGGCCATCAATACAAGTATGAGCAAATTAAAAAAATCAATATATACCATGCATCTTCTCTGACCACAGTAGAATGAAGCTGCAAATCAACAGCTCAAGAATCTCTAGATCATATGTAACAGTGAGTCACAGAAGAAATCAAAAGAGAAATCAAAAATTGTCTGATACGAATGAAGATGATAATACATTCTCTCAAAACATGGGATACAGCAAAAGCCATGTTAAGAGGAAAGTTTATAGCAATCAGTGCCTATATGAAGAATTAAAAAGATACCAAATAAATGAGCAATCAATGCATCTCAAAGACCTAGAAAAACAACAAACAAAATCAAAATTAGTGAGATGAAATAAGTAATTAAAAATAGAGAAGAAATAAACAAAATTGAAAGGAAAAAAACACAAAAGATCAGTGAAACGAAGAGCTGGTTTTTCTTTCTGAAAAAATAAGCAAAATTGATACACCATTGGCCCAACTAACCAAAAAAAGAGGGAAAAGACTCAAGTCAACAAAATCAGAGGGGTCAGAGCCATGGCGTAATGGATAAAGCCTCCACACCCAGTGCTGGAATCCCATAAGGGCACCAGTTCCAGTCCTGGTTGCTCTACTTCCAATCCAATTCTCTGTTAAGACCTGGAAAAGCAGTAGAAGATGGCTGAAGTTCTTGGGTCCCTGCATCCATGTGGGACACCTGGAAGAATCTCCTGGAACCTAGCTCCTGGCTTTAGATTGGTGCAGCTCCAGCCAATGTGGGCATGTGGGGAGTGAATCAATGGATGAAAGACTCCTCTCTCCCTCTCTCTCGCCTCTGACTCTCCATAAGTCTGCTTTTCAAATAAATAAATCAATCTAAAAATAAATAAAATCAGAAATGAAAAATAAATGTAACAATAGATACCATATTATTAAAAATATCATCAGGAATTACTATAAAGAGCTGTATGCCTACAATTCGGGAAACATAGAACAAATGAATATATTCCTAGACACATACAATCTACTAAAATTGAGTCATGAAGATATAGAAATCCAAAACAGTCCGATAGCCAAGTTGGAAATTGAGTCAGTATTCAAGAAAAGCCCAGATATGGACAGCTTCAATGTTGAATTCTACCAGACATTTAAAGAAGAACTAATTCCAACTCTTCTTAAGCCATTCAAAACAACTGAAA